GACGGAGTTTGCGTACCTCCTACTCTCGAAAACACCATCTTCTCCTAGTTCACATCGTTCGATTTTGCGGGACATCCGGGGTCATTTGCCGCAGACCTGCAGCTGGACCGCATTCGTCAGCAGCCACCACGTTCTCGGTCGAGAGCCCGGAGTTGGACCCGTAACGGGGTTTGGATACCTACGAACAATACACCTCGGGTTGATGAACTAATAGGATCCCAAAAATAGTGATATAATATGTTCATATGCTCTGCACATCATATGATGCAAGCTCTCGGGGTAAAACTATGGTCGAAAATATATGCAGATCCCTAGCACGATGCACGCAAAATGTACCCTGAAGACGCCAGAATCACACCCAATCCCCACCCCCAATATCCCAAGCAAGCAATGTACATGTCCCAGACGCCGAATTCAGGAAGGGCATCAGAAGACCTCATGAATGTCAATTATATCCACCTCCCAACAATGGTGGCACTGGGCGATCCCCTTCACGCACAAACGACACCAACGCCTCCCTGGAGTACAGAAGACGGTGGAAATGTTGCAGGTAGGTCCGCCATCCCAGCCAGTGTCCGCTTGTCCGTTTCGTGAAGAAAAGTATGTAGATCGTATCAACAAGTTTAAATAACAAGGCTTTGAAAGAAAAGAGGACGACGATGTCTGATAGTTTGATGGCCAATGTTGATGGCCAAGGCTGGAAAGTGGTCAAGTCTCCACGACGAGCACGGCATTGCTGTCGCCAATAGCACGGGGGCTGCCTCACTTCGTGGAAGGGCGCTAATTTGCCAGCCTTTCGGAGACGGAGCAGAAGCCCTGCCACAGATGAGAATCGGCTCTTTGTATAGATCGGCAACGCTCAGTGTTGACTGTTGGCTTCGAGTGCGAGACTACCTGCCATCATTCCAGCCATGCATCTTTCCATTCGTTCCCGGTACGTGTTCGTAGACCGGCTGCAGCAGGGCGGCCGCCTGGACTGTTGACTGAGAAGGCTGGGGAGGGCCGGTACCCGATCGCCGTCTTCTTTCTCTCTCAAGGGGACCGGGCAGCTCAGGCTCTGCGTTGCGGGCGCGGAAATTGCGGTTGAGAGTATTCACCCAATTACCGCCCTCCTCATCTTCACCCAGCCAGTAGTTGCGGCCGATGCTGATCATGATACGTCCCAGCTTACCCTGCCACCCTTGGCCATCGGGGCTGTGCGCAGAGAATGGTTCTCGATCGATGTCGGCGACACTAGCCACGCTAGCGATGGAGGTGTTGCGGCTGTGGGTCGGGAGTTGAGTGTGCCGCGGCACGGCGACGTAGAGACGGAGGGCCTGTCGCGCAAAGGCCAGCATGACAAAGACGAAGTAAATGCGGATGGTCCACAGCAGGCAGATGAAAACGATGCTTTGGAAGCTTTCAGGCTGAGACACGGCGTTACCCAGGGCATCCGATCTCCTTGCATAGGGATCGGCTTGATCCTTGTGCGACGATTCGTACTTTGGACTGGTGAAACCAGCGGTTTGCGCAATGGTCTCCGCGCCCGGTCCGGAGGCGCTTCCATTATCGTAGTGCTGGGCTATAACGAGGAACCATGTGACCCCAAAGGCGGTGGTGTAGGCTGCATTGATGATACTGTCGAGAACGTAGAGCCAGGCGAGCGCAAGACATTGCAGGGGAGACTGTTGGCGAATATGAGGGAAGAGATATGTGACGAGACCCAGCGCGAGGAGGGAGTAAAGGTACATCGACAGCTGGACAGGTGAAAGATGGTAACCGGTCAAAAGGGCGAGCAAGCCATAGAGGCCGCTGATTTTGTTGAGAAGTAACGATAAAGTGATTAAGGATGCACCGGTCTGAAGACTCATGACATAGAGAAAGGTCTGTGTGTTGGGAAACCCGGACCAGCCGGGATTGGGCTAAGTCAGCTTCAATTCAAGAAAAGAGCGACCGAGCAACGGAGGCAGGCGGACCTCCGTAAAATTTCACCACTAATTCGATAGATAGGAACATACCTCTGGCCGCGGGATGCGGAGGAGACGGGTTGAAAACCCCATGATGTTGAATTTGAGGGGCAAAATGTGCCAAATCGATAAGAGTAGGGTGAAATGGTAATGGTGGTGGTGGTGATGAATGAATGAGAAAGGGAGTGACAAAAAGAGGCAAAGGAATGGAAGGTGACGACGGAGAAGGAGAATATAGAGAGAGAGAGAGAGAGAGAGCGAGAGAGCGAGAGGGGCGGCTGGAGATGGGAAGGGGAGTTTTAACTACAGTACTCGTTAGTACGCAGTAGGTTACGGTTTTCAAGGTTGAAAGAGTGAACGAGGGCGTGAGAGAAAGTAACGCTGGGCGCCCAAATTGCGGGTAATTGGCCCAGGGGCGGCGCTTTCTATCCGGTCGGGTCCGCCGATCGCTGCCTTGTCCCCTCCTGGAATACTACTGTATGCTGTACTGAGTACATAAGTCTTTCAAACTAACGGATTTCATTTATTTTTTTGGGGGTCTTTGGGCCTTTGAACAGTCCCTGCCCCAGCTGGTCCCCCATGACGTATCTACACCATTACAATCTTTCTCATACTTTGGTCCCTATCTGGCACGAGGTGGTCTGCAGATTGATTGATTGATTGACATTCTATTATTGTATTGGTCTTATCTTCCCCTCCTGCTGAAGAGTTATGCAGACCACCACAAGAATTCTCTTCTCTGGCTATGTTCTTGAATTGACCACCGCATCCAAAAACCCACTTCGACCGAGCGGAACAAACCACTAGGCAAATTTTTATGCACATTATTATCCTACTTGCCGCCCACCGACAAATACGAGTACGAGGGAAGGCGTTGTTTGCTCCATACATAATCTGCTTATGAGTACGCACGCAGTACATGCAATCCGCCTTGTGAACTTTCACTCAGGGGTTTCTTGGGGGCCCTAATTCATCTGCTTACACCATTCAACGCATTTCAAGAGTTGCGACGCAGGAGCACAGTGGAATGAAAAGTTTAGCCTGACTGCCAATATATGTAATGTGGATAATCGTGTTTGAAAAGACTTATTCCATGGTCAGATCGAAACCGATGATCATATGACTATGATTCCGCGCGCCAATTGGGTAGACCCGCCACTGTTGCTGTGTAGTGGCTGCATTGACTGTGGGAAGCTGAATGCAAAGCAGTGCACTGTCAAGCTTCTATGAAAATGGCACATAATTTGATCAATATGTCCCCACACCACCTGCCGAACGCAAAACAAGTCCAATCTCGGGACTTGACACGCATACGCCTGGCCCCTACGGTTACCGGAGTCTTTTCGGGACAAAGTGAAAATGAAAAAGATAGGTCCAATTAAGTTTAAAAAAAATTGAAGCTTGATCTAAACACGCTATTCACTCGAAAGAAGGGGGACAGGAGGAAATGTACATGTTGAGGATGAAGGAACATTATAGACAATATCTCATGCCGCTGATTGAGGTTCAGACAAGAGAGTTAGGAGGGAAAGTTATAAGAGAAAATTGAGTCGGCAGCTGCCAGCCCAGTGATTAGCAGGCGCATCCATCGTTAGTCGTGGTCTCTTTCGGGCTAATGTTAACATCGATCACTAGGAAAAGTCAGCAAAGCTATGTTCAAAAAAGGGGTTTGGCTCGCGGGAAAACCGACTTTGGTTGTCCCCTCTGTTGCTTTCTCCCTCCATACCCGGTAGGGCCTGAGCGATTCTCCGGAAAAGCTGCTTGACGTTGTGGCCGACCTTCGCACTCGTCTCGATGAACATCAACCCATTCTTCTTGGCCTCCTCTTCACCCTGTGCCGTCGTGACCTCCCGCTTGTCGTTCAAGTCGGTCTTGTTGCCGACCAGGACAATAATGACATCGTTTCCACGCTCTCCGCGAACATCGTCGATCCATTTCCGGGTGTTCTGGAAGGACTTGGCATTCGAGATGTCGTAAACCACCACGGCGACACTCGAATCGCGAATGTAGGAGGGAATCAGGGAGCGGAACCGCTCCTGACCGGCGGTATCCCACAGTTGAAGGCGCACGGTTCTATCTTCTAGGTACATCGTCTGTATGGACAGCACCGATTAGTTTCGGACAACCACGCGAGCAGGCATACAAGCTTGCCGTGCTATCGGAAGGTCAACGTCGACCGGACGGACGGTACCTTGGACAAGAAGTCGATCCCAATTGTGGCTTGGTATGTGTTGTCGAATGAATCATACATGAATCTCGTAATCAAGGAAGTTTTGCCAACTGCAGGAGAAGTGTCAGGACTAGCGTGGCGAAGGGAACGACATGCGGGGTGGTTTCGTGTCGCGGAGGATATTCGTACCACTCTGTTCTCCCAGGAACACCAGCCTGCAATCCGAATTAGCGATCGGTTCAAGCAGCGGCTGAACAATAGTGGTTCGTGCTGCTTACTTGAATTTCTTCAGAGGGTTCGAATACGACCCTACACCAGAGGTGGAAGCCATGTCTACGGAAATGTGGTTGAAGCGGCGAAATCAGGGGTAGCGGAAGTAGGTCGCAGGATCGATTCGTGATAGTGGGCGGTGGACGAAAGTCGGAAAGGAAGGTGCAGGGGAAGGAAAGAGTCGTGAAAAGCGGAGTCTTTCGAGAGGTTCGGGAATTGATTGTTAGGTTAAAGAAGAGGGAGGGGAAGGTGAGGGGAGGAGAAGGCGAGCAGATCAACCCGTACCAGAGGAAGGGTAGATTCTCTAAAGGTCTAATGGACAAATAAGTAGCTGGTTGACCCATGGGTCCGTCCGGGGAACTTTTGACAGTACTGTGTATGTTTGCACTGCATAGATTAGACTAACTACCTTTACCTTAGTTAGGAGTACTTAGAGTACAGTACTGTACGGAGGACTCAGTACGGTAGACCGACTAACCCGGATTAATGCCCGGCCCGATAAACCACCACCACTACCACCACTTGCTGGCTTGCTGTTCCACCTGGGCTCGGGGTCTATCGATCACTATTGAAGCTCCTACTGACTTACTACTTGCGGTTCTTGTTGTTCCCTACTTGTCCCCCCTCCTCTCCCCACCCCTCATACCTGAGGCCCTCTTCCTATTGCTCTGCTCTCGTTGTATCCTTCTCTTCAATCAAAACTATAGGGTCATATCACTCACGGGACGTCCACCATGGTTCTCCGTTATTTCACCGGTGTTGTATTCGTGGCCCTCCTGGTGGTCGGACTATGTAAGGCAACCAACTTCATTAGCTGCATAGAGGTCCCGAACCAACGCTAACTATGATCTTCTCTTTACCTAGATTTGCTCCTGACCGGTCAAGGTGAACGATTCAATGTAAGCGACAGCTACACTCGTCGACAGTCGCGGTGGAATCCTCGCTAATCCGATCCAGGTCGGTTACTTCTTAGAGTCGGTATCTCCCTATGCGTGGGCCAACCTCGGAATTGCCATGTGCATTGGCTTGTCGGTCGTCGGCGCTGGATGGTATGAGAATCCCCTCAATCCGATACGGTCATACGTCATGCTGAGAAACGGGCTTTTAGGGGTATCTTCCTGACGGGATCGTCCATCGTCGGCGGTGGTGTCAAGGCACCTAGGATCCGGACGAAGAACTTGATCTCCATTATTTTCTGTGAAGTCGTTGCTATCTATGGTGTCATCATGGCAATCGTCTTCTCCTCCAAGCTCAACCTTGTTGACAATGACGGCATCTTCTCGGGAAGCGACTACTACACTGGTTACGCCCTGTTCTGGGCCGGTATCACGGTCGGTACATGCAACCTGATTTGCGGTATCTCGGTCGGTATCAATGGAAGTGGTGCAGCTCTGGCCGATGCTGCGGATCCCAGCTTGTTCGTCAACCCGACCCGGGCCCTGGAAGAGTGGTTGCTAACACTGCGCGCAACAGGTTCGTCAAAATCCTCGTCATCGAGATTTTCAGCTCGGTTCTCGGTCTCTTCGGACTCATTGTTGGACTTCTGGTGGGTGGCAAGGCCCTCGACTTCGGCGCCGCTTAAGAGTATAAGGATTGTGTAGGAGCTTGTTGTCGGTGGGGATGAATTGTATGACTTCTCTCACGTTTGTCGTTGCCTTTTTTTATTCTTCGTCATCCTTTATCTACTGCATCGGGGCGTACGGATTCGATTCAACTGTAGAACTTTGTTTTGGCTATGCGTGCGAAATGCATTGTTGATCTCGCTGCTTTGCCTGTTATTGCGACGGGGAAGAGATGTATAGTAATTGGCAGCGGGGCTGACCTAGGAATATAAAAGTGATGAAGGTGCATAGTATGTTTGGAGTGTCTGGTGAGAAGGAGTATGATAGAGTGTTGTTGGGTGTCTTCAGTGAATGCCTTCAAGATTTGTTGCGTTGATGGCCGATTCCGGTTGTCTTACCTTACTCGGTAGTGTCTTAGTGTCTCTCCGTCTCCGCCCCTCTCCGCCATGCTTATCGCTCTTCCCCGCCGACAGGAAGCATCTCCGATATAACCCCCTTCTCCTTCCTCGCTCCTCAGCAACAGATATTCTTCATCATGACCGATACCACCACCCTCAAAGCAGCAATCCTAGTGGTGTCTGATACTGCTTCCCAGGAACCTTCGACAGACAAGGTTGGCGATGCTCTCACACACGTCTTGTCAACGGCAGGCCCCAATACCTGGGACCAGCCCGTTATCAAGATCGTCCCTGATAGTGTGCTAGACATCCAACGTGCTATTTGTGACTGGACAGATGGGCCAAATTGGGTCAATCTCATCTGTGTAAGTGGTGGCACTGGTTTCGCGACTAAGGATATCACCCCTGAGGTTCGTCGACTGTCTACACTGACATCGCCCCCATCGTTCACACTAACGCTTCGATCAGGCGGTCTCGCCTCTTATCCATCGCCATGCGTCCGGCCTGGTGTGAGTTATGCCTTGAATCTGCATTCCTACTATCTATGACTGACCGGAGCAAAGACATGGCATGCTTGCCGCATCCTTGAAGGTTACACCGTGTATGTTTGATTGTGTTGTATGCATGGACGTCGCTGCTAACAGCTATCAGTTGCGATAATGTCGAGACCCGTTGCAGGAGTGCGCGACAAAACCTTGATTGTCACTCTGCCAGGCTCCCCCAAAGGTGCCAAAGAGAATCTAGAAGCAATTATCAAGCTCCTTCCGCACGCATGCAGCCAAACGGCTGGTGCGAACTCTAGAGCCCTTCACGCAGGCGGCATCAAGAAGCTAGAGGTTGAGGCAGGAGTATCTGCCTCACCCCAGCCAAAAAGCCATGATCATCATCATCACCATCACCATCATGACCACAGTCACGGCCACTCTCATGGTCACGGTCATGGCCACGCTGTACCCAGAGCACACACGAGTCCCTCCGAGCGGCCACAGTCCAACGACCCAAATGCAGGACCGAACAGCCGCTATCGATCCTCCCCATACCCCATGCTCTCCGTTGATGAAGCACTCAAAATCGTCAGCGAGCACACGCCCGAACCCACCATCATCGAGGCCCCTGTGACCACAGCCCTAGTCGGGTCCGTGATCGCCGAGGACGTTTATGCGGCGGAAGCGGTTCCAGCATACCGCGCCAGCATCGTAGACGGATATGCCGTAATCGCAGCGGCAACATCCGATTCTGGCCCAAATACCCAAGGCATCTTCCCCGTAGCCTCGATCACCCACGCCAACGAGGGCGGGATACTCACTCCCTTGGAGCCCGGAACCATCGCCCGCATCACCACCGGCGCACCGCTGCCTCCAAACGCCAACGCCGTCGTCATGGTCGAAGACACCGTCCTCGCCACCTCTACTCCGGACGGACAGGAAGAAGCCACAGTTGAGATTCTGACCTCCGAGATCCAACCGGGCGAGAACGTCCGCGAACCCGGCAGCGACGTCGCCCTCGGCTCCCTCATCCTCCGCAAGGGCGACCTCATCACCTCTGTGGGCGGAGAGATCGGCCTCCTAGCAGCCACCGGCACGCGGACCGTGAAGGTCTACCAGAAGCCGCGGGTCGGCGTTCTCAGCACCGGCGACGAGCTCGTCCAACACGACGACCCGCGCCAGCTCACCGGTGGGCAGATCCGGGACTCGAACCGCCCCTCCCTCCTCTCCTGCCTCACGTCCTGGGGGTTCCCAACGGTCGATCTGGGCATCGCGCGCGACACCCCGGCCGGCGAACTCGAACAACGCCTCCGGGATGCTCTCCGCGGCGTCGGGACGGCCGCCAATCACGGCGTCGATGTGATCATCACCACCGGCGGCGTCTCCATGGGCGAGCTGGACCTCCTCAAGCCAACCATCGAACGCTCGCTCGGCGGCACCATCCACTTTGGCCGCGTGTCCATGAAACCCGGCAAACCGACCACCTTCGCCACTGTGCCATTTAAGCCTTCTTCGTCCCAGACGGCCGCGCAGCAAGAACGCCAGAACAAACTCATCTTTGCCCTTCCCGGAAACCCGGCTTCGGCGCTGGTCACGCTCAACCTTTTCGTGCTGCCTTCGTTGCACAAATTGATGGGCATGGGTTACAGACAAGGCGGATCCGGACCGCCGTCGTCGTTGGGCCTGCCGCTCGTGTCGGTTGCGCTGGCGCATCCGTTCCCCGCCGACCCCAAGCGCACGGAGTATCACCGGGCGGTGGTGACGGCCTCCCGCTCGGATGGGAGGCTCTATGCCACAAGCACCGGACTGGATGGCGTGGGTCAGCGAAGCTCGAGAGTGGGCAGTCTGGCCAGTGCGAATGCGCTGGTAGTGCTTGGGCCCGGGAAGGGGAAGGTCGAGAAGGGGGCGTTGGTGGAAGCGCTGATGTTGGGGCCGGTTGTGGCGCAGGTTTGAGCTACCGGTCTCACTGTTTCAACCTCAAAAGCAATCTAAAATATCCACATGTATTGAGCATATGCTTACCTGGGGTGTTCAAAAGAGACACGCTTGGAAAACATTGGAGTTGTCAGGGTTTTGTCGCTTCATGCCACAATTACAGTGAACAATATATAGCTACCCGCATCCGCAGTCAAGAGATACCAACCTACCAACACCACAGAAAATATGACCGACTCCATTCTATATGTAGCATAAATACCCAAAGCGAACAGATGAATCACGAAGAACAAATCTCCAAGAGATTCTATCTACCTCCTAACCAAGAAATAGGAAAAACTTAAAGAAAACCAGGGTATCAATCCCAAACTCCACCCTCACAATCATCCGTCATACTCAATCCAACCACCACAATCCCAAATCCTAGATTTTCAGAGGGTCAACCCTTCCCAACCCTCCACCCCTTCTTCTTCTCCGCCCGCAACACCGGCAACGTCGCCTCTCGCCCCTGCTTCCTTGCAATCTCAATGACCACAAAGCGCACGAAATCCGTCAGCGTCCAGTAACTGCTGTGCGCGCTCAACATATTCAGATACTGAATATTGAGGGGCCCACCGCCGCCGGACAGGTAGTAGTCGATCTGCCCGTTGTCGTTCAGCAGCAGCATGCGTTTCTCGGCGATCTCTTCGCGGGTGAAATCGTGGGTTTCCAGCTCGACCTGCGTGGGGAGTTTGGCCGTGATGGCAGGAGGTGGAATTGTCGTGTTGCCGGTGGTGGTGGTGCTCGACCAGCGGAAGACGTTGCCGAAGGAGGACCAGATGGTCGAGGTGGTGGTGGGGATCGAGGCGGGTTTGAGGGAGGCGGCGAGGTCGCTGTCCACGGCTGCGTTGACGCGATAGGCGATTGCTTTTGTTTCCCCGGGGCGTTAGTTGCGTGGTGGAGAGGGGTGGGGGTGGAGTTGGATGGCACCAGGGAGGCTAGGGGGCTTACGGTCTGTGGTGTGCATAATGTTGTAGAGATTGTCGACGGCTAAACAGCCGTATGTGTCTGCTTCGCCGGCGACGCCGCGGAGACGGTCGTCGCCCTCGCAGCCGGGTTTGTCGCGGCCGCGGCGGGGGAGGAGGTTGGCTGGGTTGGTGTAATGGTTAGCTTGGAATTTTGAATGGATACTGTCGATGAGCGGAAAGTTTACCCTTGTTGAGGAACAGGAAGAATCCGGCGGGACTGCCACAGATGAATAGGTTCTTCGTGTCGAATTCGAAAATGTCTCCGTGCACGCTGGTCGTGGAGAAATCAAACCTGGGGATCTTAGTGGGTTGATGACTGAGGATGTCCAAGGCCATCGCACTCCCCAGGGAGTGTGCGAGCAGATGTACCCGGCCGTTCTGCTGGAATCCTGGGTTGTTCTCGCACCACAGGCGGAAGATACGGTTGGCTTCTTTGACGACGGCTTGGATCATTTTGGGCTTGTGATGCGATAGATAGTATGGGATATCCAGCATGACGTCGCTGATCAGGGATCTGACAGCGGGGATGGTCTCCGGAGTGATATCCTTCAGGGAGTAGTGATTAGAAGCTGGATCTCCGGTCGCTGGAGACTCAAGATTGGCCTCATCCAGGGACAGTGTTGAGCGCCAATTCACAGGCAAGGCCATGATCCCTGCGTGTCCTGGACGCACGTGGGGCCACACGGGCTCGCTATTCAGCTCCATGTTGATGGTCCTGCGGAAGGCATTGATCGCGTGTGTGAAATGAAAACTTTCCATTCGTTCTGATAGCTTCTGGCCTATACCGTGGATGACAAGGACCAGGTCCGTCGGAGCCGGCCGTAATTCTTCTATCGCACAGGCATAGCATACCGGTTCTCCTGAGGTGGACATCGCTCGAGTCTGGGTGCTTCGAAGGTAGTTCCTCACTTCTACAGGGCTCGGCTTGCTGGGATGTAGACGGTCCCACAATCGCCGGCTGAAACCGCGAACTACAGGGATCCCAATCTGTCTGCCTTTACGAATCGCGCTGAGTGGTCTGCGACCGCGCGATACAGACGGAAGAAGACTGGGTCGTAGAATCTGTGCCTCTCGCCAGTCAGCATAGATGACGCTTGAGTTCAAGAAGGGCTTGACAGATTCGGAGTGTGCCGGAGTCGCCCCAGCGGCGCGGTTTTCATCAAGTGCAAAAGGCACATTGTCAGGGCGCGCTGGTTGGTCCGCCAGATGACCAGCGAATGGGGTGGCGTCAGGAGCAGCTGCAGCTGTTGACGGCCGGGTTGAGTCCTCTTTGGCCCAAAGTTGGTGCACTACCTTGAGCTCCGCATCAGCGCCGTTCTCGACACAGCTATTGAGTTCGTCCTGCCATGTTTCAGTCCACGGCTGCAGGTAGAGATACCCATCCTCTAGCTTGTTAGCAAGCTCCGTCTCAACTGGCAGCATAGTATTCTTATAGAACCACGTCGCACGGACGACGTGCGATATGTCGTGCAATGGGCTCCAATATATCGGCTTCATCTATAAAAAAGGTTACGATTTGTAGAGCCCACGATTCATGGAAGGTACTATACCTTCAGCTTTGGCAATTCGACAAGGTGAAGCCGGGACGCCCCGACTGGAATCCTCCACTGCGTTTCGTCAATCTCTACAGACTCTTGGAGTGGTTCATCCGATCCCTCAAGTGATCCCCTATCGACGCTTGTCCTCAGTCCTGAGCGCTTGGCTGCAGTGTGAGCGGTCGCATCCGTCGATGATTCTAGAATGGCGTCTCTCGAGGAGTTCGACTCGACGGATCTTCCCAATAGACTTTGCGGCTTGTGGATTGGGGCTCGGATAAACGGAGAACCGCTGATACTCGCATCTCGCGAAGTGTTGCCCCGGGAGCTGACGCTATCACCACTGTCGAAAGCTACGTCCTCCGTCCGTAGCACCCCGCTGGTTTTGACTCCCGTAGATTCGATATCTTCCCGAGGAAATGGTTCTCTGCCCTTGTAAGTGACCCTGGTCGGCCTCAAGTTCTCCTTCGAGTTAGTCTCAAGCGTACGTGACCTTTTCCGGGCTCCTTCATGTTCCATTCCGGGGCTTTCGAACTCATTCTTGAATCGACCTCTGAAGGTCTTCAATGCCTTATCATCCAGAGACAGTGGAACGGCAGTGTTCTGCTTCCCTTGGCTGTCTTCCAGGCTGGAGCCCAGGGATGCTCCCATCTTCTTCTTCCATTCTGCGCTTATTCTTGGTTCTTGCCCTGGTACGAGTATACCCGAGTTTCTTTTGGAAGCGCGCTCTTCCTGTGCCTTGGCTTTCGTAACCAAAATCTCTTTTCGGACCCGTTGTAGCGACTTCCAGGCTTCTTCCAGAGCAGCGTTATCCCGAACCGAGTAAGGCTGGAGCGGAGCCTTCGCATTGGCGGATCCTTGACCGCCACTTGGAGGGGGTAGCGCAGTCAAGGGGTCATCTATCGGTAGCGGAGAGGTGTAGAAGAATTGAGGCCGTACGTTCGGAGGAGATTCGGAGTGAAGCCATGAGGAAGGATCCGAAGCATCAGCTGCCAGGAAACATGACGGTCCGTAGGTATGGATGGAGGCGGCCATTGTGCTAGCAGAGAGCAGGCACACTATCCCTGTGGGCGTAGCTCGCTTTAAGTACTAAAGAACTTGGCGTAAACCAGTCAGACCAAGCCTGTAGCAGACTGTGAGCGAGGAAAGATGAAAAGATGTGGCACAAAAATAATTTTAGCTTTGGGTGGACGGTCAGTGCAGCGCGCGCTGAAAGGGTCAGCAAGGGAGAATTAAGCACTCAGGAGTGCTTCCAACTGGCAGGGGAATCTGTCTAGACAAGTCGACGTGTCATAGCGTAAAAGGGGGAAATATCGACGGATGCATGATGACAAGCATCCGCTGGAAGTTTGAAGCATTCTCGAGGTTTATGAATGGAGAAAAAACCGATGGGGGAAAAGAGAAACAACTTCCAGTCTCTTGTGATGGGCGGAGGAAGAGAAGATGACGTCGACCCCACGTGAAAGAAACCATCCATCATGCAAACAAAAAACAACTACCATAACAACAACTACAACAACAACTTACAACAACTACCATCACCACCGACCGCAACTGCCACCTCATCAACTCGAGTATGACAGCAGTCACGCAGGAGCCACGTTGGTCATTTGAAGCTGTTATTCGTCCGAGCTAGAATCCCCAATTATGCAATGACCCTGATCCGCACATGATGGCAATCCGTTCATTTGGCCAAGAATTCCGCGCGTGACGGATCAGAAGGCGGAGAAGTTGATTGATTTTCTAGACTATCATTCGATACGCTTAACAACTCCATTTTTGCAACGAGATATGTATGATATGTATGGAGAAAACAAAAAACAAAATCCGCGCGAAAATGAAAAAACGAAAGACATAGATCGAGCCGGTAAGGGCGATCCAACTGCCGTCATTCCACAAGTGTAGCCCCGGTTCCCCACCACAGTATATCCTGGCCGACTCAGCCGCGCTTCATCAACAACAAAGCCTGCATCTGCAATTCTTCGAAGTCACGCATAGTATCTAGGGGTGCCCCGAGCATCTCAAGAAGCTTATGGATGTCATACATTTGCTTCCGAATCGCGCTGTCCGGGGTGCAGAAAGTGCGAACGCTCATCTCTTTGCCGATCGCTTTCCAGTTGTTCAGGTTCGTTCTCAACTGTACGGGGTTGGTCGCGCTAGACCCGTTGAATTGAACAGTCCGAAGGTTCAACAAGATCAGCTGGCGCTGGGTAGCTTGATCATAGTGAAACTCCACGACTCGTGGCCGATTCTTCGCAGCCCAGTAGTTGGTGACCTTGGAAATGGATTCTCCGGAAAGCAGACCTCTATTGTGTTGTTCGACGAGGTATCTGTTGGCAACGACACAGATCATAACCTCCAGCTGCGAATACAGTCTTGCTTGGGTCGGAGCATCCAGAGAAACCGGCACAGTCCTTGCAGGTCCATACCTCTCAGGTATATGCCCGGAGGAATGGATGCTAAGGTTGACCTTGGTCTTTTTCAAGGAGATGTCAGGACATGGTATTTCATCGTAACATGGTGGTCCACTTACCAGGTCTTCCACCAGGTCTGCAACATGCATCTTGAATTTCTTCCCCAATCTGCGCAAGTCGAAAGACTTGTGGTTGTCACCTGCCAGTTCTCTGAGATCTGCGTTGCTACCCAGCCAACCGTTCTCGCCGAAAAGCTTCTTGTGTGAAGGCTTGCTTCCGCTCAGGGGGTTTCCAACCAGCGAAATACCAGTCAAGTCTGCGGCAGTCGGAGACAGCTGAGGGCTAGGACTAAGCCTCATCATGACCGTCTGGCTGATTTCGGGCTCAGAGTATGGATGGTAGCCGATTTGATGTCCACGGCCATTGTGAAGTGTCAAGCCTGGCGCCTCCAGCACGCAGACTGTGTCGTCAAACTCGGACTGGTGTATCACGGGCGACGGAGGTGAGTCGCGAGGTGACAGATCTGATTCAATACCAACAGGAATGTACTCCGACGAGGCGGATGACTGAGCATCGAATGGAACGGCCGTGTCACTAGTTGGAGAGCCTGTCCAGAACTTCATGAATGGTTCGTAGAAGGGATTAAGTTTGGCGATATCGTCGTAGCTCAGGTCCCTATCTCAGATGTCAGTCTCTCAAGACCAGAGTTAGTTGATTCGCGTACTTACTGTGACAGGAGCATGATGTACTGTGGGCGAATCCGGTCGCTCATTTTATAAATTGTGATCAAGGATATTCGCTAGATGAGAAAGTTGAAAGCAAGGATTGAAGACGAGGGCGAGGAGAAGATCGACAGCAACGGATTGAGGGTGTCAGGGAATAAGATCAAGCAGAATGTAGGAATCTGTTTGAGGGAGAGAACTGGGAGATGAGATGCTGGATGGAGTCAGTCATATCCTTATTGTTCTATTGTCATCAGTATCCAGTGTGTTAAATGGTGAATGTAGTATTATCTAGGACAAGATTATATCACTTCTACAATTTTAAAACTTAAGGTGGGGGGCCACTCCACCTGGGCTGAGATGAGTGAATAGCTATTATTGATAAAGGACAATAGTCTGGATAGGATAATCTAAACAACACACTAGGTCAATCAATCTGGATAGTTGTCGTTGAGGCTCAGATTTTCTTACTCACCTGGGTTTTTCCAACTAATAGCTCTATCAAGCTTGTGTTACAGTGCTACCGAGAGGATAAGCACATAGAAGAAGGGCAAGGGCTTTAGTAGGCTAAGGTAAAGAATATACTCACTAAGTCAATCTGGATAGCTGCAGTTGAGACTCCGATTCTCTTATTGATACGTCTCTTCGCAATCGATAGTACCCGAAAATGCGCTCCAAGTTTGAACAGATGATAAGTCAGGATGAAATTCTTGCCTGCCCTGTACATTTGTTGTGTAGATCGGAGTCCCGACATTTAAATATTGAACAATTCGATATAGAGTAGAGCATGATCTTCGTTCTCCTACTCCATTTCAGTTGATATGACGATAAGCCTCGACCCGCTACCTGACTGGAGTAAGAACAACCACTCTACTGTCTATGAGCCAACGCATTAATCAATATAACTGCTGGTCTTCATTTCGTATGGCATTGAGTCTATGCAACTCGAGACCAAGCATCGGGTCAGTAAAAAAGTGGGGTTATCGCTCTGTTTATGATCCTAACCAGGCTAATTATGATTGCCACTGTATGACAGGGATTGCTAGCATAAGAATGCACTACCTGTTGCGTGCCTGAGGCAGGACTGCGAATCGTAATCCAGCCAGATGGACTGAACAGTCGTCAGATGAATGTAAACATCGTCTATCATGCGGCTGCTATTGGCCCTCCTCCGAAGTACCGGGTACATGTCCCATGGGGTCAAGATCTACCGTTGATCTGGGGCCCGAGTCCGTCGGGACAGAGCTCAAGGCACTGAAGTCGGTAGGCGAGTCGAGGGGAAGCAAATCTCGGAGTAAATTGCCGGGTTGTGGTCGGCAGCGTCGGAGATGCCTGGAGACTGGTTGGTGCCCCAATTTGGAATTTATGCAGCGGAGGTTCATATCTTTGTGCTGTACTGATGCATATAACGATGTCGTGAAATCAGCTACAAATCAATACTGCCTTTTAATTCTCGTAATATGCAATTCCTGATATAGAGACCCAGACCGAGCCTCGTAGCGAGGACATTGACCGAGTCCCTTTATGGAATTCAACTACCTACCCATACTTTCCGACTGGGTTTAGTACCTACCAGCACCTTAACTCCGTGAACAGTTCGGCGGTCGGCACGACTTGAGCCAATCAAGTGGAAGGGATTGAGAGAGGAAATTCCCGGGAGAGGCTGCCGAGGGGGAGCATCACGTGCCATGGCCTCCACCTGCCGAACTTCTAGCCGCTCCCAGAGTGCGGAGGCTCGGATCGCAGACCGGCAATCCCAGTGAACCTCCCCGCAATCCTCCAATTGGAGGCTGTCGCCCTTCATCTTACTCAGATTGTAATTCTCAGTGTCCCACAATCTTACTCAATAGGTCTGCTTCTCAAGGCCCTCCCCGGCCATAGTGCAGTTCGGTCGCAATTCACCCCCAGGCTCCTCCACAATCTAGCCCACACTGAAATGCCGTCCTACGTCTCCGTTGCTTGCCGCCTGTATGCAATCCGGTGGGACCCTGTCTTCAGCTTTTCAATCAATATTATTTATACCTCCATCATCCTCATGTCGTTCGATTGGTTTTTTTTCTTGTTTCATCATCAACTCCTTACTCACATTTCCTCTTTACCTCTTCATCACTCTCCACTCATTTTTTCTTGTGGCTGATGGTCGTGAATCCTGACCCTTGATCTTCGAACTACTCAACTCCTCTTCTTATCCCACAACCACTTTACCAAACAGAGATTCTCTGTCGCACAGCATCATGACTCGATCGCAAGAGAAGTATGATATCGTCATCGTGGGCGCTGGCCCCGTTGGTATTCTCTTGTCGCTGTGCATGTCTCGTTGGGGCTACAAGGTTAAGCACATCGATAACCGTCCCGTACCCACCGCCACTGGCCGCGCCGACGGAATCCAGCCCCGCTCGACTGAGATCCTCCGCAACCTGGGCTTGAAGCGCCAAATCATGGCCTATGAGCCCGCCAAGGTTTACGACGTCGCTTTCTGGGATCCCCTCCCCGGCGACCAAGGAATCCACCGCACTGGAAGCTGGCCCAGCTGCCCGCGCTTCATCGACACCAGATACCCTTTCACCACCCTCGTCCACCAGGGTAAGATCGAGCGCGTCTTCCTCGATGAGATCCAGAAGGCTGGTACCACCGTCGATAGACCCTGGACCATTGTTGGCTTCAAGAACGACGGTCTGGACGAGACCTACCCCGTCGAGGTCCAGCTGAAGTGCATCGACACCAATGTTATCAAGACCGTCCGCAGCAAGTACCTCTTCAGCGGTGAAGGTGCCCGCAGCTTTGTTAGACAGGAGCTCGGCATCCAGATCCACCACAAGGATCCTATCTCCTACGTCTGGGGTGTCATGGATGGTGTCGTGAGAACTAACTTCCCTGATATTGAGGTAAGCCGTCGCATCACATCCGAGCCGCGGAAATTGGCATTCGCTAACATCGCATCGCAATCCCTAGACCAAGTGCACAATCCACTCCGATGCCGGTTCTATCATGGTTATCCCCCGTGAGGACAACATGGTCCGTCTCTACGTCCAGATCGCCTCGTCCACCGATCCCGACTTCAACCCCCGCAAGACTGCCACCGCCGAGGAAGTTCAGGAGACCGCGAAGAAGATCTTGAAGCCCTACTGGGTGGAGTGGGACCGCGTGGAATGGTACTCTGTTTACCCTATTGGCCAGGGTATTTCGGAACGGTATACCTTGGACGAGCGGGTGTTCATGGGTGGTGATGCCTGCCACACTCACAGCCCTAAGGCCGGCCAGGGCATGAACACGGCTTTCCACGATGCTCTTAACATGGCTTGGAAGATCCACGCCGTTGAGTCCGGACTGGCTAAGCGCGAAATCCTCAAAACGTACGAGAGCGAGCGCAAGGACATCGCTGAGACTCTCCTGAGCTTCGATAACAAGTACGCTGCCTTGTTCTCCAAGCGTCGCCCTACTGCCGGCGAAGTCGGCGAGGCCAGCCACAACGCCGCTGCGGCCAATGTCGAGGAGGACCCCTTCGTCAAGACCTTCAAGGAGTCTTGCGAGTTTACCAGTGGCTATGGCGTTGCTTACAAGTCCAACGTCTTCACCTGGGATGAGACCCACCCCGCCCAGTCTCCTCTCTTCAACATCCCTGGCGTGAAGCTGATCCCTGGTCGTGCTTTCACTCCCAGCACCGTCACTCGCTTGGCGGATGCTAACTTCGTGGAGCTGGAACAAGAGATCCCTGCCAACGGTGCGTTCCGTATCTTTGTCTTCGCCGGCAAGCAGGCCAAGACCAACAAGGCTATCGCGGACTTCGCTGCCAACCTGGAGAAGGAGCGCTCTTTCCTGTCGGTGTACCGCAGAAGCGACATCGCCGATGTTTCCTTCTTCGAGCGCCACCTTCCTCACTCCAAGCTCTTCTCCCTGTGTGTGATCTATGCCGACGAGAAGAACAAGGTCGACATGGCGGCTGTGCCCAAGATCCTGCGGGATTACCACCACCACATCTACGCCGATGATCTTCCCGACGTGCGGGTTCCTCACGCCAAGTTTGCCGCTCACGAGAAACTTGGATTTGACCCTGAGGTCGGTGGTGTTGTCGTCACTCGTCCTGACAGCCACGTTGCCTGCACGGTCCAATTGGTGGAGGGCAGTGGCACGGTCGACGCTCTCAATGCCTTCTTTGGTGCCTTCACGACGAAGCCGCTTGGCCAGGATCAGCAGGCTAGCCGACTGTAAGGATGGGGGGGTTTTTTTTGGAATAAGATGTCTGTAATTTATGTTTGGAGATTGGCCTCCTTGCTCTCGAGTCTGTAAATAGTTTTCTTGTTTATTTTTGCAGTTTCGGGCTTGTGCTATTGCAGCGGTTGCGACCTGGCATGTTTTGGCGTTGTTGTATATGTCCGTATATATCCCGAGAAATTCAATTCTCCAATTTATTTCAAACCATCCAAAGCAAAAATAGGCAGATTATTGTATGAGATTGTCAGCCAGCAGCCCAGCGAAGAGGGAAAAAAAATAATGTAAAAGGCGGCGAAGGCGGCAGCATAGCCTGCCGAAGTGTGAACCATCGCTACGGCCCCGCACCAGACCTGTATGACTTCGTCCTCTCCCCGCCAGCGATCTGCCCAACACAAACAACACAACCAGGAACATCCACCAGAATGCTCTCCTTGATCCTCTCCGCAGAACTCAACGGGTAAGTCAATGATATGATTTGATATTCCACACCAAAGCCGCCGGCGGGTCTCACCCTCAAGGTTCTCATGCCTTTTTTTCTGCCACTCTGCATGACTTAAACCTCTTCCCCGCACCTGACGCAACACATTTTCTCCATGCATGCATCAAAATGACCTAAACCGTAGCTAACCCACGTAAATCAACAGAGTCAACGAGCTCCGTCCCAAGGACACCGAGGAGGAGCCCTACTACTACACCTTCAAGGTCCAATGCACGAGCTGTCGTGAGGTTCACCCCAACCCCGTCAGCTTCACCCGCTTTGTAAGGCCATCCCCCAAGTTCTGCAGGGGAAAACTGCACCCACTCACAGAGACAATCAGGAGCAGCACGAAATCCCCGGAAGTCGGGGCGAGGCCAACTTTGTATGGAAATGCAAGCTCTGCCAGGTTAGTAGTATCCTTCCAGTCTTGCCCATCATGCCCCGTCCATCACCCCGGAAAGAATCACTACCTCGCATGTGCTTACTACGTAAACAGAAAACCCACTCTGCCTCAATCATCGCGGGCCCCAACGCCTACGAGGCGAATGACAAGCGCACTGGCCAGAAGGTCATTGACATCGACTGCCGGGGTCTGGAGTTTACCGAATTCAAGGCCGATGTAAGTGTCCGCCGGTTTCTGACCCTGCCTAGTCTATCTTTTCAGGATGCAGAAAAAGAAAGCTAATGCGAGTTCTACCAGGGCGAGTGGCTGGCTAAGGGTGTCGAGTCGAACACCCCGTTCACCGACATTGATTTGTCCGAGGAGTGGTATGACTACGATGAGAAGGCCGGCGATGAGGTTTCTATCAAGGAGATTTCCTGGATGGTGGGAAGATCCTAGATGTCTTCTATGACCTTGATGGGGGGGATCTTAGGTTTTTTCTTTTCTCTCGTGTACATTTGCGGCGTTTTAGCTGAGCTCAACATAACATTTTGACATTCGGTGTCATTGTTCCCATATTTCTGCGATGCTCGTCCTATGATGATTAAGGCTTCGAACCAATATTATGGTATCTAAGGTAAAAGTCATCTCTTAGTTTATGCCATAAAATGCCGATTTTTTCCCAAGCTTGATAGAAAGGATTAAGCAGCAGCAGGAAAACTGCGATGCCCGGAAAGGCGGTGAGCCGACTTAGCTTTCTGATTGGCTTGAACCCGCGTCTAGCCGCATCACATTTTCGCGGTGTCCAGCCCGGCGGTCGTCAACTTGGCGACACTGCGACTAGTCGCTCGACATCTTCACCTCTCAATCCTCCGGAACATTCAATCAAGCTCGTCCCTCGACCTCTCCCCGGGACCTTTGCATCTCCTCTCCGCGCTAAGATACATTCTTCCTGCCGTGAGACTTCACACTCCGGCTCGCCGTCTCAATCCCGAGCTTGCTAAACAGCTAGCATCCGATCAGATCCCGCCGATATGAGTGTACGCAGCGCGTTCCTATCCCACCAAGCCCTTCCCTTCTATACGAGAGAAGAGCCAGTGTCAGTGGACGGCAATGCTAACTCTGATTTCCGCAGTTCAACCCCGTCAACCCCCGCCCTTTCCTCCAAGCTAGGTATGCGAGTCCCCGTCGACCGTATTCACGTCTCGAGCTACCCCCCCTCCACCTCCTCTTCGCATCAGCCGCGCAACCCTTTCCTCTTTCATGTCGAAGGAATCCCAACTTGAGTCACGCAGGATCTAATCATTTCGTTTCTGCCACATAGGGTCGGCGAAGAGGTCGTTATCCGCCTGAAATGGGGCCAAACGGAGTACAAGGGCAAGCTGGAGAGCATCGACTCGTACATGAACGTGCTGCTGCGGGATACGGAAGAGTTCATTGACGGCAAGAACACGGGAACTCTGGGTCTTGTGCTGATCAGGTGCGTATCGGTTGGTTGCTACTTGGGCCCGGGAGGGTCGACCTTCCAGAGGGAGACACCCCCGGGGCCCAAACCAACCCAGCCCAAATTAGTCCTCTTCTCCGACAGTGGCTGACCTTCTATCCCTCAATCTAGATGCAACAACATCCTCTGGATGGGCTCCGCCGACAACGTCGAGATGACGGACCTTGGCCTACGGTAAAAAATGGACGCGGGAGGCGGTGTTTTTTCTCTCATCCATCCATTCGAATCCCGTTGATACTTACCTACCTACCTACCCTATCATGGCGAGTAAGGAAGGGGGGAACGCGAATCCGATCCTTCTCTTCTTTTTTCAGCTATCATATACCAAAATCGAAAGATCTACATCCGATGGGAACAAGGCACCAAAACTATGCACCCGTCTTGACGCAGACCACAGACAAAAGACGTTGATGGGCTTCGGGAGGAAGGGTAAAGTGAGGGATCAAAGGGTTGATTGCGTGGAGGCTCGCCGGTTGGATGGGTGTTGCAAGAAGCGAAGGGGAGTTTCACCCAATACTTTGCATTTGACTTTATTTCCTCTTTTCTATTTGTCTTCTGGAATAAGGCGTTCGATTGAATATCATTTTCCTCTTTCGATGGTGAATTGTTTTGAGGTCAGTTTGTGGGCTTTCTACGGCACGAGATTGTGCGGAGCTTTGCTGATGGGCTTCATGGCTTGTCTGATGCTTGGCTTTGAAGGTTGAGGCATGGGATGATCTTTTGTGTGAGTAGTGAGGATGACTTTGGCTATTGTTTGGTTATGAGTGGCCAGTTCAGCTACCGTGGCTCTTGTTGTTTCTGTTGCCTTGACAGGTTCGAGACCCGAGCAGATAGAGCAGCCAAGTCGATTGTGATCCTCATGCTCTAGCTTGGTTAAGTGCATGCCATACGCGCCTGTAGTTCACACTATGGCTCTAATGACTTGCAGTGAACCCTGAGCAGTGGCAGCTGACACAAGCTTTTATCTACAATACAGCATACTCGTACTCTACTGCTCCACTATGGTTAGATTCACATCAATGGTCCTAAGCTTCGATAAGCACTTGTTCTGAATGATTAGACGTACCATATGGTGAGCGGATATTTAAGTAGACTTATGCCGGTGCTTTCAATGAGCTTTGCTACGAGCACGATAACGATTGGTATCTTCAGTTAGGAATAGTTCTCCAAGAGCTGAGATGAACTTCATCTCACTTGGCCTTGCAGGTCCAGAGCCTCTTTCCACATTTGCATAACGCTTATACGATGCTAAAAATAGACCGCAGGAAGAGTAATTCACCTTCATTAGAAGCAGCTCTACCGGTCGGCAGCCAGAAACATTTGTGCTTCATGGACCGAAAATCAGCTTCTCAGAACCTATAGGTCTGCGCAGACTCCATTCAAGTCCCGATGCACTTTAGTATAATGCATTCGAGGTCGGTGGTACAGTACACAGGGCGGCCAAACGAGGGGCAGAATGCGACTTCTCCCCGCATCGGCTCTTCTTCGGGATCTTCTTCTTGATACTCCCTTCAGCTTCACAAACTTTCCCCAGCCTGACAACATCGCCAGTATGAAGAATAGCGCGAACAGAAAAAAGATCAGAGCCCCTTGTCTATCCTCGCAGCAACACGTTAACCCCCTCCATTCGCATCACTCTCTTCATCCCCCGCGCCCGTTGGGAAGCCTGTGCTCATCACGACTCCACCGAGCCTTCCCTGGCGTCCTGCGGTGGCGACCGCGGATAGAAACCCCTCGGGTAATTAGAACCACCGCGAGGTTCGAGCCCCCTTCTCGCTGAGCGCGGGTTGCCGATATTCGAACAGCCTCGTCTCGGTTGTCCTACTCGCTTTGGAAAGGAGGTCTCTTCAGGCACTGGCAAAAGTCCCGTCCATCTCAGCAAGGCCATCATCATCATGCATAAATTGTGCAGCGGGAGCTCCGCAGCAGGAGCAACAGCGTCCTGTGTTTCGTGGCCGCAAATGACGACTCTGTGCGCCTTCATGCACAAGAAGAGAGAGAGAGAGCCTTTTACGGAACTGTTCTCGATCCCTGGAACCATGGATGAAGCAGGTCAACCGAATCCACAGAACCCTTCCCCTCCGCCCTTTCCGCTCGCAGGCCCGCCATGGATCTACTGGTTTCATCTCCATATGGTAAAGTTTGAAGAGATTGTGGAAACTCCACGAGAAAAATGGCGGAAAAATTCAATCACCGCCGCTATGTATCTTAGGTTATCAGCGTAGCGGCGACCTCCTTTTTAAATGGCCCAGGCCTCCGGTGGGCTGTCTCTTATCGCTGCTTCGTGCCAGACTGGGCTGTGTGTGTGCTCGGCTCTTAGAATAGCAATTGATTTTGCTCGCTCATCATGACTCTCGCACTTCCGAATGATATACTCCTCCTGGTTGGGGAGTTTGTGGAAGATCGCCAGGACCGCTACAATCTCCTCTCTGTATCTCGTCAATTCCATGAGTTGTTTCGACGCTTGCTTTATCGAGATGCTAGTCTGAAGAGCGGCGCTCAACTACATTCTTTTCTAGGGGCGCTGCTCCGTCGTCCCGAGCTGGCTCGGGCTGTTCGCTCACTGGACTTTCATGAATGGCAGTCCCGAACGATGTACTCTTCTACTCCGCTTGCCGATACGGATTTAACACCCTTCATAAATTTGTTGGAAAGCTTCAGCCATTCCGAAGAAGAACAAGAGCAATGGTCGCAGGATCTCTCGAACGGAGTCGAGGAAGCCTGGGTTGCGCTTCTTCTGCCCCTGGTGGGTAATCTCAGACACCTTCAACTGGTCTATCCGAGAAACAACATCTACTTGGATCGCATGATGCAGAGAGCTGTGAAGGGAGAGAGGCCATTCCACACTCAACCCGCCTTCCGTGTGCTGCGACATGTATCTTTAAGCCATCTGCCCGACGACGAGGATAGCCGAGGGAGCTTTACAGCCCCGCAAATCCTCCCATTCTTTCAACTCCCATCGATGCGGACGTTTACCGCCGACTCCGTTGTTGAAACTACGCAATCAGAAGAAACCCCGTCGGAAACTGCAGACTCTGAGTATGAACCTGTAGTCGGCTCTTCATCTATCTCAGAGATCACTCTCCGCACGAGCAGTGGTTCCAAGGGCATGGAGAGCCTGATCGCCTCCTGCTCTTCTCTGAAGTCGTTCAAATACCAGCACTCTGACTCCCATCTTCTGTCGGAGGGCTACCGACCTTCCTCTTTCTACCGGTCGCTGGATACGAGCAAACATTGTTTGCAAAGCCTGTGGCTTGACAATGGGGGCACCCATCTGCCCTTCACCGTCGCTGGGGCAAACGAGACACATGACGAATGGTTCGGTCCTTTGACCGAGTACGCCTCGCTCAAGGAACTCCGCATCCGCCTGCCCAATCTGCTCGACATCCGCTACCAGCTGGACCCATCATGTCCACTGACCGATATCCTGCCGCCATCTCTCGAAGCCTTGTATCTGGAAGGATGCAAAGAGAATTCGCTGACCATGCTGGTGGGACAGCTCAAGTCGGTCCTCCAGAAACGCAAGACCCAATTTGCTAGCCTCAAGCGACTCGATATCGAGGGGTTTTTCCACGATGAGGAGGATGAAGAAGCGTCTGGATACGAGGCGTCCGACTCCATGAGCGAGCGATTTATCCGCCCACGGGTGTATGAGTTGACTGAGCCGCTACGCGAGGCCTGCGTCGACGTCGGAATCGACCTGTACCTTCGCGACCGCGACTGCTTGGAGACGATGCGAGAATGTTAGTGATGACGTCAGCATCTGTTGATATGCGACCGATATACCATTAGATTGCGTTGCTTTGATGAATACCCTATAGATGTTGCTTTGGATTTTTTGTTCTTTTCGGGTTTACTTTCTGGCAGTCGATTTGAGCTTGGATTTCTTTAGCGCTGTTCTCGAAGCTCGTCAAAGTCATAATGTGATAGCTTGGTGCAATGAAAGAACGCTTAGATGGTCAAACCGAGCCTTGGGCTCCGGCATCTGGACCACGAATCTACTTAACCTATGAATTAGTACAAATAAAGACCCTTTTTTCTAAGAATCTCGGATGACATTTTCCATTCGATTCGCTTGCCGACTGACAAGCTCGCCAAGACGAGATTGTCCTTGAAGATGAAGCCGATCGTGTTGTTGCTGAAGGGTAAGCCACCTGTCGATCTTCTGCCTGAAAACTCCGCGATCCCGCTAGCAATTGATCTTTCGCGCTGTTCGGATGCATTAACAGAACCTCACTCATCCACCGATTCGGCTTCCCGGCTAATGCATTTGGCCTCCTTGACTGAAGAAGGCCATGGCTATTCACAAGAACAACCAGCTGATAGAGACCTGATAGTGCGATTCTGAGATGACGTAACGCTGTTAGGCAGGCCATATTCTCTCATCTCTCCGAGTACGTCGATCGAAGTTACACGTGCATGAACCGCGGATACTGATGAAATCAGGATTGGATAAGGAGATAACCTCTTATCAGCGAGCGGAGCTCTCCTCTCGTTATTCATAAGAACCTACACAGAGAATATTTCTCCCACTGGTTCATTCACGCCCAAACGTGGGCTATGATGCAGCAGGTTCGCGTTCTGGAACAAGCCCAGGTCGGATAACCGGCACTCCACAGCCTCGACCGCTGATGAATCAGCAATTCGATTCACAACACCGCCCAGGCACTGCAACTTAGGTACCTGAATGATGTCAAAGCCGGGTCATTACCAAATGTGTTTACCCGGTTGACAATGCTCCCCTCACCCACCGTCGCGTGGTGGCTTTGTTCGGTGTCAACCTAGGGGCAGGCCGTTGCTTGCCACCCGCATCCGATACCCGATTTGATATGACGTTTCTCTGCCTGCCCCTCCAACGGGGCATACAATCCTGGGAGATGGCTTTACATCATGAGGGACTTGGGTGTGTACTTAAGAACAGAGGCGAGACACGCATCATGCAACACATCTTACTCTTTCAGGCGACATCGTTGCAGCACTGGCCATGGTGGAGAGAAACACAAACGCACACGCACACGCACACGCACACGCACAGACCTACTCCCCGTCCCCGGAGCGGTTGGAGCAGTTGGAGCAGTCGGAGCAGTCGGATCATCGGCCGAGCCACTCGAGCGCGTCCAGTACAGTGGTGCATGATGATGTCGAGAAACAGACTGTAGGCCGTCCGTCCGAGGATGGGAAGGATCCCAATATCGTGGACTGGGATGGCCCGGACGATCCGGTATGTTTACTGCCTTGTCCTGTGTCGAAAGCGTCCTGTAGATCGTTACTAAATGCACCGGATCGACTTCACCAGGAATATCCCCCCAACTGGTCGGAACCCCGCAAATGGACGATCACGATAATTCTGGGATTGATGACCGTCTCCGTGACCTTCGCCTCGTCCGTCTTCAGCGCGGCGGCGGCGGTCACGGCGGAGCAATTTGGGGTGTCGGAGGAAGTGATGATTCTGGGGACGAGCCTCTTCGTGCTGGGGTACAGCTTCGGGCCGCTGGCCTTCGGCCCGCTGTCCGAACTATACGGGCGCAAGACCCCGCTATTCGTGGGCTTCTTCATCTTCGCCATCTTCCAGATCCCCGTGGCGGTGGCCCAGAACCTGCAGACGATCTTCGTGTGCCGGTTTTTTGGGGGTCTGTTCGCCAGCGCCCCGCTGGCCATCGTGGGCGGCATGCTGGCGGACATTTTTGACCCCGTAGATCGCGGCATCGCCATGGCCGTCTTCGCGGGCAGCACCTTCGTCGGCCCCGTGGCGGGCCCCATCGTCGGCGGGTTCATCACGATGTCGTACCTGGGCTGGCGCTGGACCGAGTACATCACCGCGATCATGGCCTTCTTTTTTGGGGCCCTGGGGTTTCTCGTGGTGCCCGAGACCTTTGCGCCGGTGCTGCTGCAGCGCCGCGCGCGGCGGCGGCGCCACGCCACGCGCAACTGGGCGCTCCATGCGCGCTCGGAGGAGGAACCGGTCGACCTGAAGAACATCGCGCACCGGTACCTCGTGCGGCCGATCCACATGCTCTTCCGCGAGCCGATCCTGCTGCTGATCACCCTGTACATGGGCTTCATCTACGGGTTCCTGTATCTGTGCTTCGAGGCCTACCCGATCGCCTTCCAGGAGATGCGCGGGTGGAATGAGGGGGTCGGGGCTTTGCCGTTTGTCGCGGTGACGTGTGGGGTTCTGGTGGGTTGCGGGATTATCATCATCTTCACGAAGACGCGGTTCCAGGCCGTCCTCCGCCGCGAGGGCCATATCGTTCCCGAGGAGCGGCTGATCCCCATGATGATCGGGGGGGTGTTGTTGCCGGCGGGGATGTTTTGGTTTGGGTGGACGTCCAATCCGTCCATCTCCTGGGTGCCCCAGGCTATCTCGGGGGGTTTCCTGGGAGCGGGAATCTTGTTGATTTTCATGCAGGTATGTTATGTTGCAGACACAAACCCCGACGGCGCGTCTGGCCACACCAGCACATCTGTCTCGTTCTTACCCCGGCGGGGATAGGATATCATCATCGGGTAGCTAATGACATGCATCTGGTAGGGTTTGAATTATATCATCGACTGCTACGGCGTCAACTCCAACTCGGCCATCGCAGCCAATTGCTTCTTCCGGTCGGGGCTTGGGGCGGGGTTTCCCATGTTCGCATTGCCCATGGTACGTTACCTTTGTACTGTACTCCTGATCAAGAACCAAGCTGACTTGCGTACAGTTCCACAACCTGGGGGTCAATTGGGCGATGACGCTGCTGGGATGCTTGACGGCCATTTTATTTCCGGTGCCGATTCTGTTCTATGTATTCGGGAAGCGGATCCGGTCGTGGAGCCGGTTTAGTCCGAGTGAAGAGTAGACTGTGTGGTCTGATGGGTAGCGTTGGTGGGGGCGAATTCTTGTATATATGGCTGGAACATGCATATAGGGTATTTGACGAGAACATGATTGATTTTTTTTGTCTGTCAGATCTTCTGTGATTCTCCCGAGACAGAGCATCTGTCTTTGATCCTGCTTTCCGCTGTATACTCACCCCGGTAGGGCATCTGCTTACAGCATTGAAGTATTCATACCTTGAATGGGGGACATCTTAGAGTCAAGACCCGTAGAACTTGTGCATTCATTACATTCAAGACGGCTTGCACAGTGCTCTCCACAAGCTGTGTATCGTGCAACTCAGGGCGTGACAAGAAATCCTCTGGCAGCATTCTAGCCATCCGCCTTGATCCGCCTTGATCCAGCATTCCAAAAGTATCCAAAACCAATGCGAACCCAGCAGTATAGTTAGTATCACCGATGCGCCGCCGGCAACTCCACCGGCTCCACCACCGCGCCTCTCCCCCTCCCCTCCAACTCATGGGTATAAGTAAGATCCGCCTGCCCAATCTCCACAGGCACTTTCCTCGCCTGCCCAATTTCGACCGCAAACTGTTGTTGTTGTTGTCCCCCAGGAGTAGCAGCCGCCATCTCCACGGGGCCCCTCCCCTGGCCCCTCGTGTCCTGCACCTGACCCAGAGAAGCCCCATCCCTATCCCCAGCGCCATCCCCCTTAAGCGGCACAACAGCCGTATACCTGCCTTTCCTCCTCCTCTTCAAGAACCACACCACGAATCCCAGAACAACAAGCAACCCCCCCACCGCAGCCCCAACACTAATCCCCGCAATAGCCCCCTTCCCCAACCCTGTTGGGACAGTACTACACCGCCCAAACTCCGGCTGACAGCCCACGCCACAATAACTAGCATTCCCGCCGCACCAGCCATGGCCCGAGCAACAATCCCCCCATTCACTCCCAACACAGGTGATTTCCCTGCTGCACGATCCATCCGTCGAAATTGCCTGCGTCGCTGTACCTGTTGCCGTAGTTGTCCCCGTGGCCCCTGCCCCGGTACTCATCTCGGTCCGCGTACCCGTCGCCGTGCTGCTCGTCGAATCTTCCCCCCCATCATCATCATCAGAAGAAGTACAACTCCCGTATAGCGATTGACACCCCACCCCACAGTAACTACTATTCCCCCCACAGTACCCCAGCCGGGAACAGCAGTCGCCGTACTCACTGCCCAGACATGTGGTGTTGCTGGTGGCCGTCTCGCCGCAGGAGCCCGTCGTGCTGATGGTCTGCTCCGCACCGGCGGTGTCGCATTTGCCCCACCCCGGTTGGCAGCCGGCACCGCAGTAGCTGTCGGTGGAGCCGCAGTAGCCCTTGGCCGAGCAGCAGTTGCCGAAGGGGGAGGTCAGGCAGGTCGCGTTGGTGGCGCTGTTGAGGGCGCCGCAGTTGCCGTCCGTGCTGGTGGGGTTCATTTTTTGGGTTGCGGGGAGGGGGGATGGTTAGGGTTTTGTTTTGTCGGGTGGTAGGGTGGTTTCTAGGGTTATGGAGGTGGTGTGGGTGTGGTGGAGACCCTAGCACGGGGGTTTTCCAATCAACCAGACTAACTCGAAGGGGGTCAAGAGAACATCACACTGAGATCTCGGGTTGATGAACAGAAATAGAGAAAGAGAAGGGTAACTTAGTTAAAAGTTCGTTGTAAAGAGCAAATGGTAGGTGGAGGAGATGGGGGGGCGGAGCACTTAAGGGGATCAGATCTGTGAATAAGGGTCTTTGACCTAGTCTCAGGGTTCTCCTATATCTCTTGCTATTATAGCCTAGCCCCCCTAGACTAAGACCCCCGGTTTGAAGATACGTTAGCGCTGTGCAGCCCGCTGCCCATGTGGTGGTGCTACAGGCTAACCTATCAACTAACCTAACCCTGCAAAGCCAAGGCCAAGCCAAGCGCCAAGTAAGACATGCCCAGCTCACATTTTGGGGGCCAGATTCCTGCCACGATCTAGACTACCTACCACATAACTTAGACACCCGAGACAGTCTGACAGTTGGGAATGGCTGAAACTTGGTCGGGATTTACCCGTCCGATGACCGGTAATCTGACGTTCTGGGATTCGACCTATCCAATATGCCGCTGTTTTGGGTGAGTTTGGACCCGATGGCTGTGCTTTCAGGGTCAGGGCCAAAGCCAAAGCCAAAGCCTTTGTTGCGGAGCGGGCGGCGCGTGGGGCTGGGCAAATTTTAGATTAAGGAGGGTCCACCAAATTCAATCTGGTGTTCGAGTTGTTGTGGTTGTTGTCAGTGTGTTACCGGAGGAATTTGGGTGGTTTGATTGGGTCAATTAGGCGTTTAAATGAGGGTTTGATTGTTGTTGGCCATCGAGACTAGTTACTTGGGGTAATCTGAGTATGAATTTACGATGGTTGTCACATGATTTTATATTGCTTCGAAGGGCTGCGTCTTCCCATATTTCACATTGTTGAGAATAATGGTAATGGTCCATCCACTCTCCGATATACGTGTCTATGTACTTTTTCCTAAAAAGGCCTGGCTAAGTCGAGTGATCTCATGTCCCCCCACCATCACCGCCGCCCATCTTCCTTGCGCGCCTCCTGCGGCTCCGGCAGGGCTCGCGCGGCGACCGACAGCCCCAGCGCCAGCAAGACCATCAACCCCCAGATCGCATACCCGCCCAGAAACTGCGACCGGGCCCCCAGCGCAAACAGCGTGGTGAACAACGCCGGATTGAACGCCCGCAGCCCGCTGACGCCCGTCAACGCCAGCGCGTTCAGCGTCCCCAGCACGCGCGGGGACGGGGCGATGTCGTTCAGCGCGAGCTGGATCGCCGTGAAGCTCATGCTCACGCCGCAGCCCAGCACCAGGGTGATCGGCACAAAAACCCAGAACACCGTGACGGCCGCCTCGGTGCCCACGCGCAGGAGCACGTTGCCCGCCGGGCAGGCCAGAAAGAAGAACGGGTAGGCGTAGGCGCACAGCCGGATCACCCCGTTGGAGCCGAGGCGCTTCTGCAGCGGCGGGAAGACCAGCAGCAGCCAGGCGGCCTGCGCGGCGCCGTTCAGCCCCATCAGCAGCGAGATCTGGCGCGGCGTGAAGCCGTACCCGCCCAGCGCGGGCGGCGTGAACCAGAAGACCGGGACGATCGCCGTGTAGGCAAACGCCAGCACCATGATGTGGCCGTAGGTGTAGATCACCATCCCCACCCCGGGGGACGTCAGGAGGTCCCACGTCGAGAGCTCCGCGCGGACGATGGCGCTGCCGGCCGACTCGCCCGCTTCTTGGTCGCTGCGGGTGGAGACGCGGGGTTGCCTCGTCAGGGTTTCTTGCACGAAGAGCGCGCTGGAGATCGCCGCGGTCGCGCCGACCATCGCGACCACCAGGCTCGACAGCGCGTACGGATAGTCGGCGAAGAAGCGGACCGACCCGAAGACGCCCGGGTACTGGCGGACGGGATCGGCCAGGCTCCCGCCTAGCAGGGGCCCCAGGAAGATGCCCAGGTTGCCGCTGAAGGCGAACCAGCTGAAGGCGCGGGCTTGCGTCTGGCTCGTGCTGTGCTCCGCCACCATGGTGCGGATGGTCACGATGGTGCCCGCGAAGACGCCCGCCAGGCACCGGAAGAGGATCATCTGCGGGATCGTCTGAGCCAACCCAAACAGGCCCGTTGCGATCGTCACCCCGAACAGCGAGAAGACCAGCACGGGTTTCCGGCCGAAGCGGTCGGCCGCCCGCCCCCAGAAGATCATGATGATGGCCTGCGTGAGCGAGAAGAGGGACTCGATGAGCCCGCTGTAGAAGCCGACGTCGGCGTCGGCCACGCCCCCGTTGTCTTGCACCATCTGGCTGACGTAGGGGAAAATGGAGAAAAACGCGAGCGGCTCGATGACCCGGGCGTAGCACAGCAGGAGAATCTGGACCTTGGGCAAAGGCTTATCTTCCTCTTGGTCCGGCTCGGCGTCGGTAGGCCTGCTGCTGGGCGGGAGAAGAGCCGTGGTCTCATCCACGCGGTCCTCTCTTTCCGTGTCAAGATTCCCGGCGCGCCGGATGGACCGGGGAGGAGATGATGTTGTGGCGACCATCGAAAGACGGATCTGATTCGGATGTTGATTATGCTTATGGGGTTGGTGGTGGAGACAGAATTATTATTGTTGGTTGCCAGAACGCAAGGATGGCCGGGTGGGAGGTTAATCCGGTCCGACAACGGAGATAAGCGGTGGACAGTAGGCGATAGGCGACTGCCGATAAGCGATAAGCGAAAAACGATAAGTAGTAGAAAGTAGTAAGTAGTAAGTCAAGTTAGATGTGAATTTTCATGAATCTCCTGCTAGAGTGAGCAGAACAAAGGTAAGAGTTGTACCTTCACTTACATAGACTTGCTTCTAAAGCTGACATCGGCTTCCTTAGCACCAGCCCCATTGGCACCAGCCCCATTAGAACCAGCACCATCAAAACCAGCCGCAGCAGCCGCAGCAGCAGCCGCAGCTTTCATTGCAGCCCTACGCTTGCACAACTCCTTCATCCTCTCCCGGATATCTGAACCATAGCCCCCATAGTAAATGGCACTAAGGTCATCGGCCTGAGGGAGAGGCAGCGGTAGCTCCCCCCTAGGCACTTTGGCGCCGTTGAGCACCACGTCGACATCGGTCGTCGCAAAGGACGGATCGTTCTCGACCATCTGGGCCCACTGGCTGATGCGCGGCTTGTCCGCGATCCAGTCGAAGGCCTTGCGGCCGTGGAACTCGTACTGGTAGATGGTGCGCGGAGGCTCTTGCTTGGAGGGGAAATGGGGATCGTCGAGGGGTGGCAGCGGGGGCACCTCGCCGGCCACCTCGCGGTACAGCCGGATCTCGTTCCCGGTGCGGATGACGCCGTACGCGGGTTTCGATGTCTCGAAGGCCCGGTGCACCGCCGGCAGCCCGAACCAGACCAGCACCCCCAGGCACTCGGCCACCCGGCTTTCGCCGGGGAGCTGGACCTCCTCCGGGACGAGGTGCTTGGCGATCGCGCCCACGCACTCGGTCTTGCAGCCGACGCCCAACAGGGACCAGATGGCGTGCAAGAACTTTTCGTGCTTCCCGTGGGCGGAGTAGGGCATGTCGGGGCCCACGGTGATGGGAGTGAGCGTCCAGCCCTCGGGGAGGCTCAGGGCCTCGGGTGGGGTGCTCATTGCGGTTGTGTGTGGTTTGCTCGGTGGACTTTGAAAGTCAGTGGTGTATGTTGGGGTTTGAGTAGCTGGCACCGAGACGGATGTGGTTGGAAGTGGTGGCTGTGGATCGGAGGCTGCTTGAGGTCTATTTATACACTTGCTGATGGCTACTGTGCTTAGATCTTGAGGGTTGGATCTGTTGGGTTTTCCTGCGCACAACAAAGCAATTGGATACACTGAGTAGTTCCTAAGGACCGCACCTTTGTTGACAGTGCTGATGTTGAGAAGTTACTTCTAGTAATTGAAGGACGGTTCTCGTCTACCTTTCAGCAGGACTGATCTCTTTGTGTGCCGCTAACTTCGGGTTCCAGCATAATCGCAGCTTTGATGGAAATATGATGATCTTACCTGCGATGAGTTCTTTTCTAGCTTTCAGGACCAGGATGCAGACTCTGCACTGAAGTTGGAACAGTCACTCCAGACAAATCAGTCTGCGCTCATTTACCAGGTGGAAGTGACGATCGCTACGTTTTTCTCATTACAGCTGGCCCCGCTAGGGCAGTATCAAAACTGTGACAATCATCAGGAGTAAGCTATTTCATCTGGTAAAGATGTTCATTCGATCCTGTATACATTCCATTGACTATTTATCCGCGGATCTACCCGTGATAACATCCGCTTTTGTTTGTTGAATGAAGACGGCCCCACGAAACAACGCAAAAGAGAACAAAGAGCCGATCAAACCTCAATACAAGATCTAAGCATTTGAGATTTGACATGGGTGCCTTACTATGAGAAGGCATCAATGGGATCCATCGTCGGCTCAACAATAAAGGCAAAGCCCACTAAGTGAGTGCAGTTGTTGTTCGGTCCACAATTCTTAGACCAAGGCGAGGCCTCAGGCTGTTCCAGGCGGTGTTTTGGTGTGCAGCATAGATGAGTATGCATCGCATATTCTCTTTAGACCTCAAGAAGCTTCCCAATTGCGCAACGCTACCATATCAGCATCTATGCAGCATTCATTCTAAGCGCAGGGCTGGGACAGCCCTAACGAGCGCGGGAATAAGATATTGTCTACACAAGGACCCGTCCCTGGATTGCAACCTACAATGCCCACTTGGAAGGCCCATCTAGACTGAGAAGATCTTTTAACCTAGAATTGACATCCGGACCAGTGATTCAGAAAAGATGAATTGACAATCGAATTGCAATCCACATGCAAATCAAAAATAGAAAACATCACGGTGGAACATCAACCTCGAAGAAGACCGCACTCAACACCCCACCCGGCCACGAACACCAACAACCCCCATCAGCCCGGCAACGTCGGAGAAGTATCCACCGTCGACGAATTCGCCAGACTCGCCCCATCCCTGCTCACGGCCTCCACAAACGCCCTCGGATAATACGCCGAACTCGTCAACGTCGTCTGAAACCCCGAGTTCCCCACCGTCCCCAGCATCGCCACCTGCTCCGCTGTTGCCGCATAGATATTCCAATGATCCACCTCCGTCGCCCCATTCCAACTCATCCAAAAGGTCGTCGGCCCCGTCCCAGGCGCGGGACTATACACCTTCAGGGCGGGGGGCTCGCTGGGCACGGCCGTCCAATTGGCCTTGTACGCGCGGTAATTCATAGAATGCTCATCGGCAACCGACGCAAAGAACACCGGGGTGCCGTCCTCGAGATGCTCCGAGACGGCCGGGGTGCTGCCCCACCCGATGAATGCATTCCCCGAGGACAAGATCTGGCAGCTGCCTTGGCTCCACGCCCTAATACCCGGGGCGACGGGGGCGTCGTAGCGCCGCAGCAAGGTGGACGAGTTGGTGGAATGGTCGAGGGCGACGATCATGCCTGACGAGGTGGCGGAGGTGTTGCGGTAGTTGTCGCTGCCGTTGTCGAAGAGGGACAGGATGGTGGTGGTGGCGTTCTCGGCGAGGAAGCGCGCGTCGTGCTGCGAGGAGAAGTTGTAGTTCGTCTGCGCGAAGGTGGACTGCTGGCCGCCCAGGCGCCAGAGGACGGCGCCCGTGGTGCCGGAGAGCTTGTAGATGGTGCTGGTGTGCCGCGACGAGATGAGGTAGTCGCCCGCGCCGTTCTTGTCGATCGAGTTCAGGTGGAAGTAGTCCCACGCTGTGGCGTTGCTGGTCCCGTTGCCGACCACCGGGTTCAGGCCGGGGGGCGTGTAGGATTCCCCCGGGAGGATCTGCTGGTCCAGGCTGCTCCATTGGAAGCGCACGGCGCCCGAAGAGATCTCGATCTCTTGGAAGACCCCGTCGATCACCCAGCCGGGGTCGGCGCTCACGTTGTAGGCCGTTAGGTTGGCCGTGCGCGGCTGGTAGATCGGGATCAGCATGCTCGTGCCGTTGATCACGGCCGATTCGTGCATGTCGCTCATCTCCAGCCCGTTGCCGCTGCGCACCGTCGCCGCCGGGCTGTAGCTGCTGTCCAGGATCTCATGCTGTCCCCGCGCGTACCCGCCGATCTGCGTGCCTTGGAAGTAGCACAGGTGGTCGGATCCGTTGTATGCGCAGGCGTGCAGGTCTTGGAAGATGTCGGTGGTAGAGCCGTCGGCGCCGCTCCATACCAGGTTCTGCTGGCGTTAGGGCTGGGCTGGGCTGGGCTGGGCTAGGGGAATGACTGGGGAAAGCGCAGAATCATACAGCATTGGTGTCGTAGATGTAAGGCCCCGGTACATCGCCAAAGTATGGGGCGATGAAGATGTACCCTGGCGTAATGAGGCTGTCATTTTTGAGGTTGATCTCAAGGATCGGAGCGCGGATGTCTGGTCGCTGGATAGTCGACCAGGTGGTTAGCAAGGGGGTGAAGGGGGCTACTGGAGCTAAAAGCTACTGACAGATTGGTAGGATGCCCAGTTGGCACCATCCGCCAGACTCGTAAATGCTAGGAGGGACCCTAGTTCTAGCTTCTTCTTCCAATTGGTGCCCATGGTGAGGGGTGCTGTACAAACCCACTACCTATGCTCTCGTGCGGAACCATGCAAAGAGACTACAAAGATTGGCTCGCACAAGGCACCGAGAAGGATTATATGGAATTCATGGTGGAAGCGTCAGTGCATCGTGCACGTCTAGGCAACGAGTCTGCAATGGCCATTGATTACATCAAGACTATTGGGAATTGAGTTCTAGCAACGGCTATGCCCCGCTATGATACGGGTGACAGGTCACGGTGTACATGAGAGATAGTCTACTGGAATCGCTGTAAGTCAGGCATGCGCGTCAAGGGGCTGGCAGAGGATGGGAACGAAAGAACACCAAGTAATATTCATCTGCTGCAACCTCAGATTTCGAGCATTATTTTCCGAAGATACTGAGACTCTGGCTATATCAAGCCAAAGTGCTTCCCCCCCCCCCCAAGAAGTCGGGACGTACGGGAAGTGTGGAGGGGGCACGCAGCCAAGTTTGTGCGTCATGGAAGCAAGCCCACGTCAAATGATCTATTAAGTAATAGACTGCCAGTCCAGTATATGCTGCGGCTGTCAAATCCACGGTTCCACACTTTGCATGCGAAGGAGAGTTCAAGTTCCGAGATTCGATTTTCCGCATCCGGCGATCTGCGACGAGGGTCACCTCAAGTAGTGCATTTCCTACACTGGACATGCAATTGTTGGTGGAAAACGTTACCAACTCACTAACGAGGTGTCAGAGACATCCTGACGTGTGAATTGTTGACTGTCGGCAATACGGAAGTGTCCGTTTCGTTCATCAAATGCGTGGGGTGTGCTGCACGCCACATACGATTCGACACCGCATCGCTGGGTCGAGGAAGCACAGTGGATACTCTGCTTCGTCGTGGACAAAGAGAAGCATGATTTTTACTGTATCACTGATTGGGGATACAGCAAATGTTACATTGTGATGCGTTTTGCAAGGCCGTCAAGCGCAAACACTGTTTACCGCATTGGGACGTCTGAGGTATGGCATGCACATTCCTAAGCAACAAGTTGGAGAACTCTTTTCCTGGAATGCCCCAGAGACCCAGTAAAGTTGGTCTCAATGCGAAGACTGTCTTTCGATGGAGTACGATGAAAAAGAATAAGAAGAATGGGTAGCGCGTCATTGACTACGGGGCTGCCACTGGAGTATCACGAAGGGCACGACCATTTATTTGAGAAGTCACAGGGGATAGTCGTCGCATTCATGCATTTCTTCTAAGGGTATTTTAATCGCCGTCCAACAATCACCGCACATTACCACCCGAACCCCAAAGAGATGGCCCCAAGCAACGATGCCCACCGTCTGGGCCCGCCCAAGCCCGCAGACCGGGTGCTTCTAATCACCTACCCCCGCACGGCCTCCAACCTCCTCGTCAAAATGCTCTCGCTGCCCGAGCAGCCCAACGTCGTCTCCAACGAGCGGGGCGGCTACTTCTTCTGGGACGCCTTCATGAACGGGCGCGACACAGTCTGCAGCCGGCGGCCCGTCGAGCAGTGGGAGTCCTCCGAGACCGCGAACCTACGACAAGCCTTCCAGCAGAACCTCGACCACATCGAGGCCACCTCGCAGGCCGCCCTCACCCAGGGCAAGGTCTTCTTCGCCAAGGAGCACTCCCTCTGGCTGGCCGAACCGGCCGCGATGGCCCAGTACCTGGCCACGGCCAGCCGCAGCCATCGCCCCTCGACGCGACTGGGCGTGCAGGTGCCCAAGTCATACTTCAATCCTCAGACCAGCAGCGGCAGCGCAACATTCTCCCCGGAGAATTTCACCATCCTCCCCGACGCATACCTGGCCTCGTGGCGCGCGACCTTCCTCATCCGCCATCCGGCCCTGGTGTTCCCCTCCTTCTACCGCGCCCTGCACGGCCTGGAGAAGGAGAGCTTCTGCGAGCCGCGCATGATCGAGCCGTTCCTAGAGCTGCACGCCACGTTGCGGTGGACGAGGCTGCTGTATGACTGGTACTGTGATCGCGGAGATTCACGGCCTGCGTTGCCGCTGCTGCTCGACGCGCAGGATGTCATTCACCATCCGGAGGTGGTCGCCAAGTACTGTGAGCTCATCGGCATGGATCCGGAGAAGGTCCGCCTCCGCTGGAGTCAGTCGGAGCGGCGGTGGGGGGAGAAAGAGGATCCTCGCGCCCGGGCGGAGGCGGTCATGCTCGCGACGCTGGATCATTCCACTTCCTTGCTCAAGGAGAAGACTCCCGCGTTCGTGGACGTCGGGGCTGAGAGGGAGAAGTGGGAGAGTGAGTTTGGGGAGAGGGTGGCGGAGCAGATGGAGAGGTGGGTCGAGGGTGCTATGCCGGATTATGAGTACCTGTGGAGAAGGAGGTTGCGGGTAGATTGATGCTGGCGTGAGGTCTAGTCGTTTGAGGCAGAATGGCACAAGACCTTTATTGATTCTGGAAATCGGACTATCTTGGGGTTGAAAGATCTCTCTCGAACTAGGATTAACTTGGGTATGAGGTTGGCAAGGTTGTGGTCCTTCCCCGACTCATCTCCATGTCCCAATTGTTTTGCCCGAAGGCCAAGTAAAGTGGGATTTGTCTCCTAGATGGCGCATCGCACACGCGTGCAACCGGATGGAAACATGATGCAGTGCGATGAATTAAGTTTGGATGGACTTTAGGAGCCAATACGCTACGAGCAATGATCTTCGCACTGAAACGCAACGCTGCCATTATATTTTCAGTATAGAGAGAAAACATCAATCAATTGCTACACGACACATAGCGCAGAAGAATGCGAGGGTGCAGTCTCATCCCAAAACAAGCACGCAATCCATCGGACTCAGACGCTGCAGGTAGACAAGCCGCTCTCTGGAGGTACGTTAGCACACTTTTCTCTTGGTTGGAGAACATATAGAATCAACGGGTTATCACCAGGGGTTCGGGGTGACATACTGCAACCACTGGGAACATTACTTCCGCTAACCCACCAACCCTTGCTCGTCTTATACCAGTCGCCGTTCCTGTAGAGCGTTTGTGTTAGTACAGCCAGATAAGCGTCATCATTGCGGGGCTGAGAGAGCAGCATCGTACTTCCACTTGCACTTGTATTCGACGTTGGTTTGTGCCTGATAGCTTCCGGTCTGGACCACAGGCCATTGGTAGTAGTTGATTTGCTTGCTGGACTTGCATGACTTTCTGGCCGCGAGGTGGACGTCGATGTCGTCGGAATCGACGTCGGCTTCTTCGGCAGAGGGCAGGGCCAGGGTCAGGGGGAGCAGTGCGGTCAAGAGGTAGATTGGGGACTTCATGATGAAGGTACAGAAAGTTGAAGGGCTTTGATTTTGAGTAGAAGGCGTGTCTGTAGTAATGATGGTGTTGGGTGTGAGATGCTGTGTGTTCTTGTCTTTGTGGTTCGAAATTGGTTGAGGCTTTTATATCGCACTGGGGCGAAATTCAATACCACTGATATCTCTAGGTCTTGATGGTTCACTTCCCATGGCCTACATTCCTCAGTCTAGATTCCCATCTAACCTGGGTTCCGATGTCTGGTCTATTCGTATCCGCTTTTGGGCGTCCGATCGTTCGTATCACGCGCAGTGACCCGAGTCTATGACACGGGAACACAGTTCTTGCTTGGAACCCAAAACAAACTACCAAGTACTCAGCACTGCCTCCAAAGAGGTACAGGTCGCAGAGCCCAAGCAAGTGGAAGCATGGTGACCTTTTGTGGATGGCCAAGAGCTCTCAAGTGTAGAATACGAGTATCCCAGAATAACCCTACTTTCGCACTATCCTCCGCGCCAGGTGCTATGCAGCTGAATTAGAAGCAATGCGGAAAATACAAGCGCAGACGAATAGTCTAAATACAACACTATGATCTCGCTAGCGAGGTTCCACAATCCCTGGGACATTATAATAGGTCTCTGAAGTATAGACTTCATGATTTGTCTCTTTTGTAAGAGATAGGCGGAGAGGTGCTTATGTTACAGGCTAACAACCCCAGCTTTTGTTCTCTCAATTTGTCTAAGAAATAGGCCCAGTTTTACCTCTCTATCTGGAATCCAAGTATATCTGGAATCCAAGTATATCTGGAATCCAAGTATAGACAAATAAACCTTCCTCGACTTAGTAGCAGTTTTAACTAATCTTCGAGTTTTACACGCAGCGTTGACCATAGACAATAGCACAGCCTTCGAAGAGCACCCATTTTGGCTCATCCTACTATGAGTTCGAAATCTAGACACGAGTGGTTCGTGTCTTCAGCTTCACACCCGTGTTGTGAAGTCCCCACATTGTCTTGTAAAGCTGGTTCGTTCCACCGTTGTGAATGACCCGTCTGGTCCAGCCAAGATGCCAAGAAGTCCGCCCCGGATGCCCCGGATCCGGCCCAGTCTGGGGTAGTCCAGATTCTCTAGGTCTCGAAGCCAAGACCTTCCGTCCAGAGATCACCAGGATTGATGAGAACGTGCTACACTGTTGCATGGAGCTGGATCCCACGGTTCGGAGAGTTGAGCTGCTGTCAGTGTCAGTGTCAGTGTCAGCGGCTCACAGCTCTGGACGAGTTCACCACCCCTTAGTCATCTACTCATTTTCGTCATGCATGCTAGACGTGTGGGCCATCATCCAAGGAGTCATATGGTATATTTCACAAGTTGGAGATTAGGTCGGGCTAGTTGCCGCTCATGATTCCGTAAGTCATTTGACGGAGGCACGCTCGATCCTGAATGTTGTTGTCTTGGAGAAACAGCATTGACCACCACATACATAAACCAGAAGATGAAGTGAGGCAGTGGAAATCCAAGTCTCGTGCCGGTATACAAGAGGACACCGACGGTCTTCCGCATAACGGCAAAGTTCAATACTCATGCTCGGCTTCGCCCGAGATATTTGAAAAAAAGCTTGGGGTAATGTGCTCATACGCCGCGGATGCTGAAATAAGGTCATGTATCTGAGATTCAGAGCAACAGAGTAAGCTTACCAAGAGAAAGCAATCTAGGGTGGGGGTCTTCGCCGCACCTTTCCTGCCCTCGGGACGAGGGGGCGGCACTTACACATACAGATTGCCCCACCCCTCATCAAACGCTAACATTGGTGGTTCATCGTGAAGAAAGCAACGAAGCTTATTGTCTGGCCAACAGAGGCCACGAATCTACGAGCCAGAAGATACACGTCACGTGAAGACTTCACACAGCGGTCCTGACCGCATGGCTACGCAGTGCGTACGCTGATTTACTGTGCCGCAAATCCCATCGTCCGGTGTTCGGGTCATCAACGGGTCGGCTCCGTGGGACATACTCATAGAGCCTCGCTTGCAGCAACACCCCTAGCCGATAGGTAAGCGACTGAAGATTTTTACTCAGTACTAGATTGTGGATCGTTGCATGCATTTTCAGGAGGGTCCAGGGTCGCTTACGGACCAGCTCCTTGCCCCCTGTTTCAGGGCTAACAATGCCGTTGGATTTGGCTGACAGGCGGGGGCAACTAGACTCTTTCGGGGAGTTTTCCCCCGGCGATCGGCATTCACCACAATCAATCTGACTCGGCGATCGGGTCTCATGCTCCAGGCATACGTACGCTACCCGCTCAATGAAAGAACATGTTCAGGGGCATGGGAGAAATGGGGTCGCTTGCTGACTCGTTCGGTAGAGGGATCGAGAAGGGATGGCCAGCACGACTGATTCATGTTACACTATACATATATCACCTTGTGCCCCAGCATAGCGGTCATGTCTTCAAAGCGAAGTGCGATCCCAAACATGGTTGCTTTAACCTCCCTCCTGCATGTCCTCCCTCTGCTCCTCGCCACGGCACAGGGCCAGCTCGCTGGCCGCGTTGGACCCTTGACGACCGCGGCGGAGAAGAACGGCCACCAGAACGTGCAATGTGCTCGACTACGGTGCCGTTGCAGACAACGCAACAGACGTCGGGCAGCCCATCATCGATGCCTTTGCGGACTGCGGAAGAGGGGGCGTCATCTACATCCCTCCAGGCGATTACCTCCAAACCACATGGGTCCACCTCACCAATGGCAGTGCCTTTGCCATCCAGATAGACGGAATCATCTATCGCGGGGCCGCCCCCTCTTCGCAATCGTACATGTTCGAGATCTCCTCGAGCAGTGACTTCGAAATTTTCAGCTCAACATCGCGCGGTGCCATCCAGGGCAGCGGATACCTGTATCACCAGTCAGGTAACTTCGTGGGCCCGCGACTCCTCCACGTCAATGGGGGATCGGACTGGTCGGTTCATGACCTGGCGCTTGTCGACTCCCCGATGTTCCACTTTGTGATCCAGGGGGCTACTAATGGTGAGGTGTATAATATGGCAATCCGGGGTGGGGATCATGGAGGGCTGGATGGGATTGATGTCAGCGGAACGAATATCTGGATTCATGATGTGGGTGTTTCCAATGTGCTTTGTCGATTGGACATTGTACGCTGACAATTTTCAATACAGGTCATGGTCACGAACAAGGATGAATGTGTAACAGTCAAAGTAGGAGCCCCAACAATCCTGGTCCCACAGTGTATCAAGCGACTAACGTTGCATCTTGGACAGACCGGGTCGAAGAACATCCTCGTCGAGAGCATTTACTGCAACAGTAGTGGAGGGTGCGCCATGGGGTCCCTAGGCGCTGGGACCAACGTCAGCGATGTCACCTACCGGAACGTCTACACATGGTCATCCAACCAGATGTTCATGATCAAGAGCAACGGAGGATCCGGGACTGTGTCGAATGTCCTCTTTGAGAACTTCATGGGTAAGTTTGCCTTGTCACACAATGCCGATGCCCCAGCCCTTGCCCTGAGACGGAGACCTAATATCGATCCCCGACCTTTCTAGGCCATGGAAACGCCTACAGCTTAGACTTCGACACAGCCTGGAGCAGCATGTCCACGATCGAAGGGGACGGCATCGCATACAGCAACATCACGTTCCGCAACTGGACAGGCACCGAGGTCGACGGCGAGGACCGTCCGCTCATTCGGGTCAAATGCCCCGCCCTGATGCCCTGCACGGATTTGGCGATTGAGGAATTTGCCCTCTGGAACGAGGAGGGCCACTACGCATTGCACGTCTGCGAGCACTCGTACGGCTCGGGCTATTGCCTTTCCAACGCGACCGTCCCAGTCACTGGCACTGCGGCAGGCTACACCACGACGCAGTACATCAACACGCCCCCGGCGGGCTACTCGGCCACCACGATGGCCGAGGACCTTGCGACGGCGTTTGGAACCTCCGCCTCCATTCCGATTCCGACAATCCCCACTTCGTTCTACCCGGGCTTGACGCCGTATAGTCCCCTTGCGGGGGCTTCTGCCTTCCCGTCAAGTAGTGCCTATCCCTCGAGCAGCTCCCACCCCTCGAGCAGTGCACTGCCGTCTTACAGAAGGAATGTGACGGCGTCGGTCAGATCCTCGACTCCGGCTGGATTGTCAACTTTGGCCCACCAGACGCCGACTTCTTCTTCGGTGGTTTCGCCGTCCTCGGAGCCACCATCCGCGTGTTATTTCGCCACATCAAGCCCGGATGTCACAGTGGCCTCGTCAGCTTCATCATCGATGTCCACCGCCTCGGCATCCTCGGCTTACGATTCGCATACGGAGCAGCGCGTACCGCCGCGACCGCATGGTCTGGGTGGGCAGCACCTCCAATTTCATCAGCACCACGGAGGTCGCCATCCGTACCACTGAGTAAATACATCGTCTTGTAAAAGCTAATTCTGGATAAAATTTATCCGCATTTATAGATGCGGTGCTTTGTTAAATATAATTTGGCCGAGGGTTCTGCAAGTGCTAGCGCAGGACATAAAGAAGGAGCCAGCTAATCACCAAACCAATCCTTAAATCCTCTATCTGCTACTATTAATCGGACTGCCTATTCTTCGGTACACTAGTTCTCTTCAACTGATAGGCCTATCTTACCTCTATATGTTATTTGTTGATCAGTACATAACGTAGTCCTTGTTTATGGTACAGCTATTGAATCTCAATGAAGCTCGAATCCTATCTGGTAGTATAGTATGCAGATCAAGATGACTGCAAGGCTCGATGTCAGGGCACGTGCTGCTTTAGTGCTTACTGCATGCAGTGTTGCGGTGTTCTCTCATCCTCGTCAGCGGATCCGCCACTTCCGCCCGATACCTACCCCACCCACCACCTACCCCCACCATGTCGTTACGGCGCAGGTCTTGCAACGCCTGTTTCAAAGGCCGAAGAAAATGCGATCTGGAATATCCAGTCTGCGAAAACTGCAGGAGAACAAACAAAACCTGCCAGTATGCATACCCGCCTAGGCCACCACCAGGGCGCACCGACGACCCACCAACTGTGCCAGACGAGATACTCGTCTCGCCAACGACGCGTACGACCAGTAATAGTACCGATTTGGAACTGGATCTTCTTAAGTCACCTGCATTTACTATCTTGGATCCAACCGAGCAAGACGCAGTGCTCCAGCTTCCACTGAGTTTCACACCAGGTCGTCCATGTACACCGGACTTTACCCCGCCGGAGACTATCTCCTTTTCAGCCACGTCAAGATTCGTAGGCACCCTCGGTGAGGTCCAACCCATCCAAGGCAGCACACGATCATGGCAGTGGGTGATGGATGAGCTGAAAGCTTACCCGAGGGAACTTGCCCGACGGGGAGAGACAATCTTCATCCACCGCGACCTGTACCACGACGAGATGCCACGGCCGATCCGGATGGCCTTTGGCGTCTGCTCTTCCTTCTGTCTCAGCCCCGAGACGACGAACCGGGAGATGGCATTTCGCGTGATCGACGCTGAAGTCTCCGAGCTGCTCCAACCCCCCACCGAACCGAGTTTGAGCTCTAGCTCTAAGCTACTTCGAATAGAGCTCGCGCGGCTCCAGGCACTACTGCTCTACCAGACCCTCCGACTCTTCCATGGCAACCTGCAGCAGCGGGTTGCGGCCGAGCAACAGGGGTCCATGCTCATGACCGCGGCGCTGAAGATGATCGTTCGCGCGCAGTCCGAGCCGGAGCTTCAGAGTCCGAGGACCCGCCATGCTTGGGTCCTCGGCGAGTGCATCCGACGCACCGCGCTCCTACTTTACTTTCTCTACGGAGTCAACTCGGTGTATCGAGAAGGTATCTGCGTGGGACTGCATACATTGCGGCAGTTGCCTTTGTCGGCGAAGATGTCTTCTTGGGGAGAGGATGATCAGCGTGCAGTTCAAGAGGACCAAGGGCATTTGTGCGATAATGCAGAGACGCTTCCCTACGAGGCGTTCTTGGCGCGATGGCTTGTTTCGATGCCGCGGCGGCTGGATCGCTTTGAGAAGTTGCTGATTGTTCCGTGTCAGGGGCTGGAGGCGGCTGAGGCATTTGAGGGCCTGGGAGGGCTGGTTGTGTAGTTGCTTTAATCTTTGTTCGGGGGACTCGCACTGTGGGAGATGATAGATAGGTTTATTTGTGTCTGCACGTTCTTGCTGTTCAGCCATTGACCCGTCTCCAAACTCTGACCACGATTTGCCTACTTAAGTAGCCATGCAGACTGTAAACTAAGTAGTTCTTTAATTCCGAGACCACCCGAACTTTCCATTACGATCATGTCTCCACGGGACGACAGGCGATGGCGTCAATCCTTGACATCTGGCAGAGATTTTCCTTTCCAGGTATCGTCTAACGCTTGGATGTGTGCGTATAGTCTGGCTTTGCCTCGGGTTGCCATTGGTTTTGTGATAAAGTGATGGCATCGAAACTGGGAATGGGTGAGGGGTACAGTATCGTGATGTCGCTGATTTATCAGGTTCGGAGAACTGCCGAACATCAGTTGCCTATCGAGGCGGATGTTGGAATGCCGCCGCTAACACTTCTGGGCATGTTGATCAAATTACCTTTCCTGGCAGCAGAATTGAGAACGCGAGGCCTATGAGTTGAGTCGGATACCCGCGCCACAACCACTCTGCGCGCACATGGATGCTTTGAACACTGCTGAACGCCATCGGTACAATGGCTGTTACCACTCTTCTTCTAGCGGCACTTCCCATTTGCGCCTGTGCGTCGAGCGTGGTCAATGTCTTGAATGTGCCATACTATGTTCCCTCAAAGGTCGAAGTATGTGTTCTACCTGTCCACCCGTTCAAAGTCTCTCTACGGGATCCATGAATCTAACAATGCATACAATTTGGTGGTGCATGAATTCCAAGTGCGAGAAGCACTTCCGGTGACCGTCTTCACATCCCGGGAGGCACTCATTACAGCATCATGGATCCACAGCACCGTTTCCGATTTCTTGGTCCGAGACGACGTTTACAACAAGAGGTTCTTCGACGGTAAAAACTTTGCAATTTTGCTCACAAGCGTTTGCTGATGCCTGCTAGCGTTCTACCTCCAGGGTCCCGAAGGTCTTGCCATGGCTGGAGACGCAGACTCCCTGCTTAAGTCATTCGGAACCAGTCAAGTATTCTGGGCTTTGTCACAACACAACACAACCCTCCCAGACGGCCCCTACTTTGCGACATCTTCGGGCCTGCACCGCGCCTGGCGCCTCTATGAGGATCACACCAATTCGTTTGTCCTGCCTACCATCCCATCTGCCAACGACGCCAACGTCTATGAAGCCCTCCCAGCAAGCGGCAGCGACCTTTATGGAGCGATGCAAATCGCCGTACCATCCAGGCTGTTCTACCAGCCTACGCCCGAGCAGCCGCTCGCTGGCTACCGCATCGGCGTCAAAGATCAGTATGACATGAAGGGCATTATCACCACATTTGGCAGTCGTTCGTACGCCGCGACGTATCCTCTGTCGAATATGACGTCCGGGGTCATTCAGCATCTCCTCGATAAGGGCGCCATTGTTGTCGGCAAAACCAAGCTGTCGGTCTTCGCTAATGCGTGGTTCAGCATCGCTGAGTGGCCTGATTATTCGCTGCCCTTTGTAAGCATTGCCTCATTCGGTGGGGTTGTCGCTGTTCGGCAAGCTTATGCACGATAGAATTCTCGCGGAAGTCGTACCTCAGCCCCGGCGCCTCTTCTGCGGGCTCGGGGGTGTCTCTCGCCGCATACGACTGGCTGGACATTACCATTGGGGAGGATACAGGCGGCTGTAAGTCGGACCACTTTACTCGTTATTTACCGTAGCTCACACACAACGTCGCTAGCGATGCGTTTCCCCGCTGCTCAGAATGGCGTGTACGGGATCCGCTCCACCAAGAACAGCACCAACGACACCGCGACCGCGTTCGGGCCCTTCGACGTCGCCAGCCATTTCGCTCGCGATGTGGACTCCTTCAACACCTTCGGTGCCGTGCTGTACGGGCAGTCCGGCTATAGGAACTACATTCTCTATGCCCGGGAGTATTGGGCGAATATTAACCCCAATTACACGGCGCCGTGCGAGGAATACGTCCAGAACCCGGAAGCATTCCTGGGCGTGAACCGTACCATCGTTGACAACAATGCGCTTTGGTAACGGGAGCTTGGTGGATTATTTCGCGAATGTAAGTTCCAAATTTGTACTACAAAGTGCATACGGCCTTTCCCAAGATAACCCCCCTCCCCCTCTAATCGCTCCTTCCAAAACCTATAATGCAGCTAACGCAACGGAACCATAACCCGAAAGCCCATACCCTACATCTCAGGAACGAATACCTTCTCCTTAGATTTCAAAGAAGACTACTTCGCGAAATTCGGCCGCTACCCCTACACCACCCTCAACGCGGCCAGCGACCCCTCCTTCACCCCGCAAAACGCCACCCTAGGCGAGATCGGCCACACCCTGCAATCCGAATATCAGACCTTCTACCCCAGATATTTCCCCTCTGCCAAGGAAGAAACCTGCTCCGCCGCCATCGTGGTCTTTCCCTTCAACGGCGACGGCGGGAACCCCTGGTATCGGGACAGTAACATCAGTTATACCGTGGCGGGCAGCGCCCCGGCGCTCCCCGGGTATATCAGCTGGAACTATCTGTCCGTGATGAACGAGAGCCCCGAGATGGCGGTGCCGGTGGGGACGGTGAAGTATCAGAGCCGGGTGTCGCTGATGGAGGAGGAGTTTCCGGCCACGGTGGAGATCCAGGGGGCGGACGGGTGTGATTTTATGCTGATGAATCTGGTGCGGGCGGTTGCGTATGAGCGGGGCTTGAAGAAGGGAGTGCAAACTGGATCGAGGATGCACTGAGGGGGCTGGATCGTGCCTGAGGGTGATTCTCGAACAAGCGCTGTTTGAGTGGTGCTGAGCAGGTATACATACCTCTCTACGTCTAGGTAGGGCTGCGGGCTGCGGGCTGCGCGGGGAGCCCCACTTTTGCCCGCCACCTCCGCAATACACCAGATGCCCGCACCGCAGAGCTTAATAATGCATCAATCTATAATTAAGTCACAACGAAAAGAGCAAACGCGGAGGATAGAGTTTCGTATTACCTCACCTGAGAGCCATCCCGCATCTGCTTATATGTACACCTAAAAACTATATAAAGAACCAAGCTCACTTATCCAAATTGCCCAAGACAGCAACACAGCAACCCTCCTCCCGCACAGCCCTCATCCAACTTTCCGCACGTTCATCGATCCAATCCATCCAAAACAAAGACTCACTCCCTGTCTTGAGCAAACCATGACCAAAACAATCACCATAATCGGCGCCACCGGCACCCAAGGCGGCTCCGTCATCAACGCCCTCCTCTCCGCCCAAGAACCAACCTACACGACCATCCGCGCCATAACCCGCAACCCCACCAGCCCCGCCGCGCAAGCCCTCGCCGCGCAAGGCGTCCACCTCATCCCGGCCGACCTGCACGACCCCACCTTTTTGGAGACAGCATTCAGCGGCACCCACGCCATCTTCGCCGTGACCAATTTCTTCGAGGCCCTGCCCACGCACGGGATCGACGGCGCCATGGCGCTCGAAACGCAGATGGGGGTCAACATCGCCACCGCGGCGGCAGCCACCGCCACGCTGGAGCACTTCGTCTGGTCGACGCTGCCGGACTCCAAGGCCAACACGACCGGGCAAGTGGTCGTGCCGTACTACGAGAGCAAGCGCCGCGTGGACGAGTTCATTGCCCGGGCATTGCCGGGGTTGCGGGCCAAGACGACGTTCCTCTGGGTCGGGTGGTATAGTTCGAATATGTTGTTGCCGTGCTTTCATCCGATGCGGGTGCGTGGTGCGGAAGGGGGTGGATTCCTGACCCTGACGAACATCGATCCCGCGACGAGGATTCCGGTGGCCGGGGATGAGAGGGTTAATGTGGGGTTGTTTGTGCAAGCAATCTTGGAAACGCCGGAGAGGACTCTGCCGGGGAGGATTGTCGCGGCGATTACGGGGTATCGTGCGTTGGGGGAGGTGGTGGAGACGTTTGGGACTGCGAAGGGGGTAAAGGTGCGGTGTGTGCGGATTGGGAGGGAGGATTATCGGGCCTTGTGGCCGGGGTTGGCGGAGTTGATGGATGTATCGCATTATTACTTTCAGGTTACGGATGGGAGGTCGTTCACTGCGGCGGGAGAGGGAGAAGCGGTTCTGGGAGCGGAGGATCTGGGGCTGGAGGGCTTGGTTGGACTAGAGGAGGCTTTTGCGGGGGTGCCTTGGCTGGACTGATTTTTCTTTTGGCATTTCGGTGCGGTGACAGCTTCGACAGGCTGGAGATGTTCGAGTGGATGCTTGGGAGCTGTAGCTATTGAGCTGAATGTGTATTACAACAGAGGGAATCATTTCCGATAGTCGGTTTCTCTATTTTTAAATCGAGAGTTAAAACTCGTCAGAGCATTCCTCAAACAGCTGAGCGTCGAGACGGTGCAGTGAATTCACCTAGGCACCTAGGAGCAAGCAACCTCCTCATAACCATCTCCAACCTCCCCACCCCCTCCACCAACCGATCCTCGTCCTCCCACATAAAGCACAACCTAATAAAGCCATCCACTCGCTCCCGGGAACCACCCGTATTCCGTCCCGGTACAGCAAACAACCCCCCTTTCCCGATGACCAGCCCCTGCTTCGTCGCTTCGCGGTCTATATCCTCACTACTCACTCCAGCAGGCAGCCGAAGCCATAAGAAGAACCCACCCGCCGCCATCCCGCGCGCCCCATCCGGCTGAAAGCTCACTCCCAGCGGAACCAGCCTCTGCCGCACCGCATCAGCCAGAATCCAATACCTTCTTGAAACAGCGGGTAGCACGGTTCCCTCTAGGTGAGACTGGAAGCTTCCATTCTCAAACATCTGGTTGATATATGTCGAGGTCAGGTGCGATGGTGCACCGCCGGAAATGTTAGACCCGCTTTTCGACAAGAATGCCTTTAAGTTAGCCCACGGCCACAACGAGGAAAACCCAAGCCTGGGCAAAATAAAGAAAGCAGGGGATAAGATTACATACCACTGCGCCAGCGCCGCCACGAACCTCGGGGTGGCCTCCGCCCAACCCACCCGACACCCAGGGCCGAGAATCTTGCTGAATGAACCGTTGCTCACCACATTCCCGAAACCATCATCCCCGACCCCACCATCCAGTGTACGATCAATGTCCACAAGCCGCGGAGCAGGCGAGTGATGTGCAGGCGTGACAGCCAGGAAATCATAGACGTCGTCGCACACGACCAGCGCGTCGTGTCGTCGCGCCAAGCGCACGAGGGCCTCGCGGCGGGGGACGGACATCGTTGCACCGGAGGGATTCGCGTAGGTTGGCACGCAGTAGATCAGATGCTTGTATTTCTTGCCCGGCCCAAGTTGGTCTGCGCCTGCGCTTCTGGCCTTCCCACCATCCCCGCACGCCGCACACCCAGGTGAATGATGACAACCCGGGGCACTTGCTATTCCCCGCTCAAGCTCCGCAACCTGCATCCCCTCCCCATCCTCTGGCACAGCCCGCAGCCGATCGCCCAGCCCTGCGTCCCGGAACATGGTAAACACCAAATGATACGTCGGCTCAGAGAGCCACACCGCCACCGTATGGCGCGGGTCCGTGAAGACCTGCAGGATGCACGCGAGGTTCTGGGAGGCGCCGCCAGTGATGCAGATCCGCTCGGTGGGGATGGGCCGCGCGGGCGCGTAGAAGTTAGTCAGCCATTTGACGATATTCGTCCGGAGAGGGTGGTAGCCTGCTTCGTCGCCGTAGTCGAGGGCAGGGATGTAGAGGCTTGGGTTGGAGAGGACGGTTGCGGCGGCTGATCGGAGGTGTGTGGCGGGGAGGAGGGAGGGGTGCGGGGAGCCTTTTTGGAGATTGATTGATTGCATTTTCTTGCATGTATCTCAACTTGGATGGGAGGGGTAGGGATATTCACGGGGATAGATTGTATTATGTATAGGATGGAGAAAGGAAGCTGGGGCTGGGGTCGATAAATGCTAGCCCTAAGTTTGCCTTCATCTCCGCGGCCCGGATAGGCATTGTATGCGATCGGACCAATCATATCAACCCTTGTATGGTGAAAATCTGGGACCATCGGGTGGAGCTACCTCAAACTAGTAGCGCATGCTCACTTGCGACGAATTGGTCAGTAATGACAGGATATATTGTTTTTGGTCCAATTTAGTGCGATGATGCCACCGTCCGATCAAGATGAGAATGAACTTTTACCGGGAATCTCGACCGTCAGTTCAGCATCCGGCACCATACCGTCATACCACCCGTCCTGGAGGACAGTTTTCTTAAAGGAATCGCTGCGTCCGATATTATCTATGAGCTGCTCATGATGCTTGCTCTTGATTCGCTGTAATAAGATGGGTTATCCCGATGTCCCTCTCATCTGTTCTTAGTAGGACGGAGGTACGCTATCTTATTCTCCCCGTCATCAACCCTTAACCCCAAGAAACATGAACTTAAGTGCAAGCAATCCACATACCACCCACACCAACCAAAGACCTATTCACCTTACATCAAAAATACATCCTCCTCAAATCAAATCCCCGAATCATCCTGGAACCGCCCATTCGGATTCCAATGATTCGCCGGATCCGCATACCAGCGCTCCCAGTTGTCGCATGTTCGGTCCAGCTGCCGCTTCGCGAAGGTCGTCGGGACCTGCGCGATCTGCGCGGCCAGCACCTCCTTCAGCTCCAGATCCTGCAGCGCGAGCCCCCCGGACGCGTGCCACGCGATGTGGCAGTGCAGAGTCCAGACGCCCGGGTTGTCGGTCTTGAAGGCGATAACGATGAACCCGTTGCTGGGGAGGAGGACGGCGTCGCGGCGGCGGGGGTTGTCCAGGGAGAGATCGAGGGACTCCGGACCGTCGTAGGGGAACTCGGAGTATTGGAGGATGGCGAAGTCGTGGCCGTGGAGGTGAATCTGGATCCCCAGGGGTTAGAATGAGCGCCATCCAATTTTAAGGGATGTGTTGAAATCAGAAGAGGGCGGTGGGGATGTTTGACAGGCCCGGGAGAGGAAGGCTTACCGGATGAGCAACAGGTACCAAGCGACCTCCCGAGACCGGGCTGGGATTGTCCAGGTTTCCCCCGATCAAGATCATATAGTTCCAGGTGGATGTTTGCGGGGGAGAGCCCACTGGCGGCTCCTCGGCCAGGTAGATAACGGCATTGGGGTCGTAGGGCGGGTCGAGGTGGTTGACGGTGGGCTCGGTGTAGTTGACGAAGACGGTGTCGTTCAGAAACTGCCACACGTTGACTGTTGCGGCCGCATCGTTGCCTTCTGCTGGCAGGAACCAGGTGTCGATCGTGACTGACGCCTCCAGGAGGGCATGGTTGCTGTGGTAATGCACCGCAGTGAGACTGGTGGTCGGCGGGTCGATGGTCCACGGAACGACGGGGACAAGGTCGAGCATGTCGCTGCAGGTGGAATTGTAAGACCAGGCCGTCGTGGTTGGTACCGGAGGTTTCTCGTCGTCATCATCCCCGTACCACAGGATGCCTTGTCTGTCGTCCGGGAAGGTCTCGAAGTTGTGGCATCCCTCCGCGGGCTCGGTGCGGATCCAGTAGCCCTCTTTAGATCTGGAGATGTGCTTCTTGCTTAGGGTTTTGAGGACAACGTGGTATCGCTGGCCTGTTGAATCGGTTAGTGCGGGCTCTTCATGCATGCATTAGCTCATTAGAAAGGGCATGCTGAGGGTGAGCATTACCGATCCCAATATAGATGTGGTTCGTTGTATACGGTTCAACTGGAACCAAGTCATTCCCGATGACCGTCATATTGTGGCCATCAATACTGAAGATGAAGGTGCTATCCGTGGATGCGTTGATTAGCCGCAGGATGTATCGTTTTCCGGGCTTCACCTTTTTGTGATATCGGTTCTTGGGGAAAGATCCGGCATAACTCCCTGATCCAATATTATGTCAGTATTTTGGTCGTCTGTGCCCAGGCAAGTAACACACCCTTCCCATTGATCAAAATACTAGTCTGTTTCGGAGGCACACGCGGCGGATCCGCGACGGGGTTCGCGAACTGCTCCTGGTAGTATTCCATAAACGCACTGCGGTGATTGTGGTCAGAGATGAGGATTGGATCCAGGGCACTGTCAAAGTTGGCGGAGGTGGGACCATGAATCGTCATCGGACCCAGCAGGCCATCTGAGTACTGCAGACTGTAATGGCTGTGGTACCAGGTGGACCCGTACTGGGTCGTGTTGAACACGTAGCTGAAGGTGTCCCCGGGCGCAATGGGGCATTGAGTGATTCCAGGGACGCCATCCATGAGAGTAGATCCGAATTGTCGAATGCCATGCATATGAATTGCAGTTCCGTTCTTCGAGAGGTTGTTCTTGACAGTGATGTCTAGAGACAATTCTGCTCAGCAGTGAAGAGAATATCTCTGATGACTTTGATACTTACTCACTACATCGCCCCAACATGCCTCTGTCCGTACATCACTATCGGCTTCCACTGATAATCTCGTAGAAACCATCGGTACTCACGTATCCAAGGCCCCGGAAAACTCTTGTCAAACAGCTTGGCATATGGAAAGTCGATGCCATCCCAATTCACAGGACGTTTCGTATCTTCGCCCACAGTGAGAAAGTACTAGGGTTGTTACCATCGCACTGCGTTGTGAAGCTGGCAGAGGATACTTACTTTGCGCTCAATTCCAATAGGAGCTCTAACTTCATAGTCCGTGTGGATGGTAAAGTCCTTAGAAGCATCGGTCCGATGTTTCAGCCACACACCTCGATTGCTAGGCGAGGGATCGTAGGTGTACTCGGCTGCCATAGCCGGATAATGGCACTTGAAGGGGCCGCCATGGGCTGTCTCATCTTCAGCAGCACCTGGAGGCACAAATGATAGAGTGCCTGGTGCAATTGGGATTTGAAGTGATTCCGGTTCATACGATCCACGGAACAAAGGGACCCTCGGCTGGAAGCCGAAAAATGCTATGATGTTGATGATGTAGGTCTGTAAAAACATGGTGATCTTACATGAGTGCTGGAGAGGAAAATTCGTTGGACCTGCACGAAAGCATGACAATCTATTCTTATGTATCCCGGATTAGCGCCTGTCCGGGCTTTCCAGGTCTGAGCAGAATGGCCCACCGAGGTCTCGTATAATGCGCCCGATGGGATCCTTGCCAAAGTCCTTCTCGGAAGATTGTGACGTGGGTCAGATGCAGTCATTGTCATCACAGAAGCTACAAGAAGATTTGGTCCAGGGATGGTATCTTGATTCTAAGATTGTGTTCTTGCAACAGTCTGCTTTTAGGATAGACGCACAGAATGAAACCCCTCTAGACATTTTGTATGGCCTTTTAGACTGGTTTCGTTTCCCCCTAATCAACATCATCGACGCCATCTCAACGGGAACAACCATCGAACTAATATCTTCGATATGGTTTAGAGAAGGGGGGAATAGTAAGCATTCAGGCCCTATCACAATCTAGCGGAGAGTGTCGGGGGCTGGACCGGGGCTCCGTTCAAAGCAGAATCCAGTGACAATCCATGCAGGGCAATCCTATCAATCATCTGAGCTCAAACAAATCTTAGTAACATAGGCAAAAGTCAGGAATATGTATGTTCACTGCATTGACCTGTCCGCGAGCTCTTCGCTTATGAAACCTATTTCACCTAGGCACAAACCTAAAGCAAGGGAGGACGGAACACAAACTACCTACTAGATTTAGAAGAACCTACTCAATCACAGCCCCCAAAGGGTACCTAGACATGTACCTTTAACGAAATATTGACACATAATATATTCTTTCCAGTGTGAATCTGAGGAACATTTGTGGATCGCGCAAACGATGTGCTCTGTGTGCTACGAGGACCCACGGGAACCCGACTGCCCGGCTCACCAGGCCCGGTACGCCCCATACGCCCCGTGTAACCCTAACACGACAGCAAAAAGCAACGACCCAGCACTACTATTGGGATCACTCGTTACATCTATGAGCATGGTAACACCAAGATCTGTGGCTGTCCACGTTTTCGTCACTCTATGCTGTGCTGACACAGACGGATCCGAGATATCCTTATGAACCTATTCTGCCCAGAAGTCTAATTCATGCATATCCCTGGCCATGGAGGGCCCAGGACTGTCATGGACTGTTTGTCTCTAATACGAGTGAGATAACGTCTCGAGATACGGTTCGCAATGACGCAGATCATCTGGGCCGCAGTCACAAAATTGTCACAGTGGCTTTACTCAAGTGACCTCTATATACAAGATAACAGTTAGTCAGGTCCCGTATTCAAGACACAATCGAAGGATTTGTACTGCTACCGAGGAAGTCCTTGCAACAACCAAATTTCTTGTTCTAGACTCATACTCGTTCACAGGCCATAATCATCGTCTTTGGTGGTCTATTTTGCGTAACGAAGAGCATTATTCGTAGCATGATGTAGTCATTCGGCGGTGGTTGGTCCCGATGGTTGATATCAGTTGTGGACAGCGGATAGCAGCCGCCATCTTGCAAACACAATTTCCCTTACCAAGGGCAGGCACCAAGGAAGCTGGACAGCGAAGCTCCACTAGGTACCTTTCCAAGTCCTTTGATAAGTATCTTCCGGAGCATCTTCCCACGCAAGCAGGGTAGCATAGCCGGTATAATATAAGCACCGTTAGGAATATCTGGTTGACGGCGGCATTGCGGCCGACGGTTATCGGGTTCTTGCTGTCTTCGAGGCTGGAGGAACTGCACGCAATGTCGTCTTCGCATGGCCTCTTTTCGAAGCCTCGACGACAATTCCGGGCGAATTCTTCCCCTGGACTGAGATCGTACAACGCACTGAAGGACATAGCGGATAAGATATACAGCCGTATGGGAGTTTGTGACGATAGGAAAGCGAGATGAGCTTGTGAAAGCACTCTTGGGAGGTCCTCGGTTTTTTTCCGACCATCACACATCAATAGCAAGACAATCGATGCACTGGATACATCTCACTTGGACTTCATGGCTTGATAGAAGATCCAAGACCAGCCAAAATTATCAAGTAATATGACAGCAAGATGGTATCCAGCCATGGAATGAGTTTCTTATCATGCCGCCCATGTTAATGTCTATCTGCTATAAGGTCAAGGTCAACACGCGGGGCAAGTCCGTGCTGGTCCAGACGTGCACAACGGGGGCGGAAAGAGTGAGGGTGTTACGTGAGCGGTCTGGCATTGGCTTGATGAAGGAGGTGCAGGAGGCAATTATCGGTAGACGCTCTGCACTCACTGCTCCCTGACTGTGAGTACTATGTTGTTCCTATCGAGTTGGGGCGACTCGGGCCAACGGCTGATTCGCCGGTGCAACGTACGCACTCGTAATTGAGCTGCTCTGGCGAGGAATTTATCCACCTGACCACGTTACCAGACATAATTCAACCGAGGCTCGTCATCTTTTAGCTCATACATCCGAACGCCGTAGCTGGTATACCTTGGCTTCTATTCCTCTATACCATAAGATCATCACAAGTCACGGGACCATAATCTTTTGCTGAGTCAGAATCGCTGGTCAGAGAGGATCACGTGCCAGATAACGGAATTTTGGAAATTGATTCAACATAATCCTGCCCTAAGACACATGATTTAGTCAGTCCCTATCAGGCTCGAATTGTGTTCGGATGCATAGCTACCTGAACACGACCAGGGATAGTACAGACATTTGTTGTTGGTTTGGCTTCGTTCGGTGTCATGAATTGTATAATCTATTCTTGTGCCCGGATAAAGGATGGGGCCGATAACAGATTGCCTGATCCCCCTAGCGCTGTCAATGCTGGATGGATGCTTAGACTTTGCAACCCAAACTGACATCCAGCACTTTCAAATACACACGTCTCCCCATATGAATAAAGCAAAACGGGACTGTTGATTCTCATTCTTGATGCAACAGACTATGCGGTCTCCAGCACTCCTTCTTGGCCTCCTGACCATCATCACCACTGTTGTGTCCAAAACAATCGAATATGATTTCAACGTTACCTGGGTCCTCGCCAATCCAGATGGCGCAAAAGTGCGGCCAACGATTGGCATCAATCACGCCTGGCCACTGCCGCAGATTCAGGCCGACGTGGGGGACACTATAGTTGTGGATGTTCTCAACTCGCTGGGCAATCAGTCCACGGCTCTGCACTTTCACGGCATCTTCATGGAGGGCACCCCCCACATGGATGGGACTGCCCAAGTCACCCAGTGCACCATTCGACCGGGGTCAAAATTCCAGTATAAGTTTCAGGTCAGAGCGAGCTTTCATAAATATTGGCGTTGCGTAACGGTTGGCGTGAGCGGACAATTCAACTAAGTAGTGGCAACAGGTCAACCAGCCAGGAACGTACTGGTACCATGCCCATGCCGAGTCACAGTACCCGGATGGACTCCGTGGCCTCTTGGTCGTGCATGATACGGCCTCCCCATACCATGATGAGTACAATGAGGAGATCGTATTCTCGATTTCGGATTGGTATCACGAACAGATGCCGGAGATGATGCCACACTATCTCCATCAATCTATGCTTCATGATCCCACACCAGACTCTAACCTGATTAACGACACTCAGAACCTCCAGATCCCGGTTCGACCAAAGGAGAAATACCTTGTTCGGATTGCAAACATTGGGGGCTTCATGGGACAATATGTTTCAATCGAGGACCACGAGATGACGATTGTGGAAGTGGACGGTGTCTATACGAAACCTGCACAAGCACAGGCCATCTACATCGCTGCGGGTCAGCGATACGGGGTTCTGATTTCGGGCAAGAACGATGCCAGTCGCAATTACGCTATTACCGTGACCATGGACAAGGTATGCTTCACGAGAACAGTGGATGCGGACTCGGTTGCTGATCTGCTTCTGCAAGACCTTGATAATGATGGCTCACTCGCGACCTCAAGTCACCGTTACCGGGTGGTTAGTCTACGATCAGAGCTTGCCACTCGACGAACCATCCGCAGACATCGACATCTCCCAAGCAATTGATGACATTACGCTGGAACCGTATGACTCGGAACCACTCTTCACCTCACCAGATCAAAGCATCACTCTGAACATGGGGACGGCCCGACTTGCAGATGGAAATAGCCAGTATGTTACCTCTCCTCTCCTCCGCCCTAGCGCTCTTGAACACGCTCAAGAAAACACTTGTTCAACCTATAAAACCCCATGAACAGCTGGACCTTCAACGACATTGCCTACACCCCGCCCGACTACCCGACCTTATACCACGCCCTCGAAGCTGGATCTCTTTCCACCGACACTGCAACCTACAACCAATCCGCCAACACCTTCATCCTCGCCGAGAATCAGACCGTGGAGCTGGTGGTGAACAACGGCCACATGAGCCGCCACCCGTTCCACCTGCACGGCCATAACTTCCAGGTGGTCTACCGCTCCGAGGCCGGGAACGGCAGTTTCGCGGACACCGGAGCGACCGAGGCGGATTTTCCCAGGGTTCCCATCCGGCGCGACACGGCCATTGTCCATCCCGGTGGGAATCTGGTGCTTCGGTTCCGATCGACGAATCCTGGTCAGTAGTGCTCTTCTTGCTCTGTTTTGATTTGCTCGGGGACGAAAAAAACAAAGATAAAAAAAGCTCATTTGGTGGTTTTGGCTGGTACTAGGCGTCTGGATCTTCCACTGCCACATGGAATGGCATGCCTATTCGGGTCTCGTGCTCACCCTCGTCGAAGCCCCGCTGGCCCTCCAGCAACGGTTGCGACTCTCCTCTCGTATCCCGGCAGATCATCTCGCTGCTTGCGCGCCTGGGCAGTCCTTGCTGTCAGGATCGGGTGTCGAGGTTGATAAAGCGGTTCCTTCTTCCACGCCAGCGGAGGTTGAGGGCGATGGAGCGAGTTCCCATACGGCGGACGGTCACGAAAGCGCTGCTGCTGTTGGGAGTAATTGGAATCGGTGAGTACAGCCATCTCGTATCTTCCCTCCGGTAGATACGGCGGAGGCAGATCGAAACAAAAGCCGGGGACTAATCGCAAGGACAGGGCGGGTGCTTACCTCGGTTTCTTATTGGTCATGATGATAGCCACGGGGGTTGTTGCCTGGCGCGAAGTGCGGCGGTGTGCGTGCGCTGGACGAGACACCAGGTACGCGCCTCTGCGCGCGGGAGCTACGGGAGCTGAAGCTGTCTCTGCTTGAGCTTTTGGCGGGGGATCATTTGGTATATAATAGATGAGCGTGTGGCTGGTATTGCAAAGCTTCGTACATAAACGCCCAAACCCAACTGATGCAGTACAGTACAGCCTTGCTTGTATGAACCGTCCGTATTTGATAGTGCTTGGGGTACATTTAATATACCCCCATGCTCTGAGTAAATAGAGTTGCGAATGCCAATCGACTATAGTAAATTCGATAGACTAAAATCAACCAATGTAGCAAAGTCCGTTCTGAGCGTGTCAAACCTAGCAAATGACAATAAGCAGGATAACTTTCCAGTGACATTCTGGACCGAACACCCCCGCTGGTTCCGATTAGCGAGGGTGGCGCAGGCGGAGATCGGGATTTCGTAGGGATTGTTCGATCGCTCGGAAAGCCAGGTTTTGGCAGGCTTGGCTAACCTTGGAATTAGCATTTCCGCTCGATGACGTACCGCTCCCCTTTAGCATGTCGCGGCAGCAGAGGAGGGGGAGATTAGGGACTCAAATGTCCGTTGAGGATATGTATTGTCATAGTCTATATATTCTAATCCGCTCATGGGAGAAAGAGAAGGGCTTTTTGAGGGCTCGTGCGACCAGTTGACCAGTTGTCGTTCCCCGCATGGGGACTCAACCCTAAGAGTACATGCATAGTATGAGGACAAGCCGCAGGGCCAACATGAAGACCCACAGATTGTGGAGCTGAGCTTTGGGCGAGTACCTTGAAAGAGCCGAGAGGGCCTGTGAGTCTCTGTTGCTTTGCCGATGGGATCGAGCCAGGTGAGCTGCGGACGATCTGGACCTGGACTCGCACGTGTACGCAGGCCAAGCCAGTACCAGTCTAAGCGAGGTCCTGGGCGCGCATTGGCATGCCCAGTCTGTTGCAGTCATATTTACCCACCAGGACACTCCACGAACACGTCTCTCCACTAGACGAGTAGATCGCTTGGCGCCAGTCTCGCCCAAACACTATAACAACACCAGCCTCCCTATCGCGATCATGCAAAGTAACTGAACGCAGGCGAATACCGCCCCCAGCTGATTACCCATGGCGCGCTCCCACCCGCATATCACAGGTACTGTACCGACCCCCCTTCCCGGGCCAAACTCACATCCCAGCACCCTCCCAACCCAAGCCCTAACTCAGAGTCCCAAAAGCGCGATCCTTCGGCTACATCGACCCCAACTTTCCCAACCCCAACGGGCCCAACGACACCTCCATCATCATCTACGGCTACACGCCCTCGCTCGCCCTCGCCGCCTTCGCCGCCACCTGGTTCTTCCTGCATCTGGTCGTGCACACCGTCCAAACGGTCCGCCACCGCAGCTGGTGGTGGCTCCCCTTCTCGGTGGGCCTGATCTTCGAGATCATTGGGTACATCGCGCGGGCGCTGTCCGCGCGCCAGGACCCCTACAACCTGATCTACTTCGTGCTCAACTACTTCTTCATCGTCACGGCGCCCGTGTTTCTGGCCGCGGGGATCTACACCATCCTGTCCGGGCTGATCCCCCTCTTCGGCCGGCAGTACGCCCTCCTCCCGCCCCGGGTGATCCTGTGGTTCTTCATCACATCCGACGTCATCTCGACCGTCGTGCAGATCGCCGGCGCCGTGCTGGTGGGAGTGCGCGAGTCGCGGCAGCAGGATCCCACGGTGGCCAACCATATCCTGCTGGGCGGGCTGGCGTATCAGGTGTTCGCGATGACGGTGTTCATTGCCGTGGCGGCGGGGTTTCTGGTCCGCGCGAGGGGGGTAGTTTTGAAGGGCAGGCGGAAGGGTGAGGGGCCCGGGTATGGCGTGTTCTGTGGGGTGTTTGGGCTGGCCACGCTGATGGTGTATCTGCGCACGATCTTTCGGTTGGCGGAGACGGCGGAGGGGTTGGGCGCGACGCTGGCGACCGATGAGGTCTACTTTGCGTGCTTGGAGTTTGCGCCTATTGCCGCCGTGGTGTTATTGTTTGCGGTCTGGCATCCGGGCAGGTGTGTGGGGGCCAAGATTGGGGGGACAGCGGGGTCGTTGACGGTGAGGTTTTATGGGTTTTGATTTTTTGGTGTTCATGGATTTGTGAGGGCAAGGGGTCGACTGAAAACTTTGTCACGGTTTTTTGAGTCTTCTTCAGCAATGAGATGATGAAGTCTTGAGTTTCATGCCTATTTAATTGTGCTCAGAGGACCTGCAGGAATAGCTAGGCTGTCTACCTGGTGCAGTACTCGTTGATCAGAGTAGAATGAAGACCAAATTCCTTCAACAGGCTATTGCAGTGCATGGAGCATCATGCCCAACACGCCACTGGACCATCATGGGACGTTGGCGGTGGAGTCAGGTGCTTCTAATGGCATAGTACAGCGTACTCAAGTCAAACATATCTACTTTGATTGATGCATAGATGGTGAGACATGGCAAGCCGTTGGGAAAGAGCTCTTTGTGCTCCCCCTTCGCTCAAGGCTCCCCTGCCCTGACGGCTAGACTGTGTGTGACTAATGCGATGTATGTTCAGTGATCCCCGAAATACGTCTTCTGCAGTATATACTAATCAGGACCCCAACGCACCTATACTGGAGACGCCATTGAGTTATGACTCCACTAAAAGGAACCAATTCAGGTCCCGAGGTTAGGACCCACTTCCGTAAAAGCTGGAGGAAGAGCCACAGCTGAACTCTATCTTTGAATTTTCGCCACTCGCAAGGATTCAGCAAGCTTTAGGCGAAAGCAGATTACGGGCCGAGAGGAGGAGGAAGTGAGAATCTGCTAGAATGGTCATACAGAGTCACATTTTGAACGATAGAACAGCCAGACCGGAACCTTGGTGCAAGAAACAGAATCCCTTGTGTGGTGTGATGACTACTGGTAAGTAATGCTACTTCCATTGATAGAGACAAAGTTACAGCAAAAGGTAATGAATTTCACTTTTGTACTATCGAGACCGCCCGCAAATGCTAGCTGTAATTGTTGACTACTGCACACCACTCACTGATGAGGTTTTTCATAATAATACCTCGTGCTTGTGCACTACAGCCTACAACAGACGTGTTTTCAGTCCCGCTAGGCGGAGATAGTCTTTGCTGCAAAAATCATTCCCCAACATTAGTCGGTGGCCGTGCGCGGACTGCTTGGATCTGTCTCCCCTTTTCTGTGCGGACATCCTGCACTGGCGATGACTGCGACGTGATGCACCACTCCTCACCCCAAGCCGATGCTCAGTTGTCTGGCTTTGTCTTCAACAAGAAGCAGGTCTAAACCCCAAGGTCAGGCCATTGTGTTGCTGATCGGTGAAAACATAGCTATGCCCAGGCCAGCCATTCGAGTTGACATGCAGCCCGTTGAATCCGTGGGCGCTCTCCTTCAGGCGGAGCCTGACGGCGTTCCCCGTGGGCGAGCCCTTGAAGACCGCCAGCCGGCCCAGGTTGTCGTTGGCGTAGGGCCAGAGCTGGCTCTGCGCCCCGAGATCCAAAAAGGCCAGGAAGGCGGGATGGCGCTGCGAATTCGGCGAGCCGTTCAGATCCCTGAGATAGAACCCGTCGTTCTCCCTCACAGGGCCTCCGGACTCACAGTCCGTGTTGCGACAGACCTGAAACCGCCGCCGCATGCTGCCTTCCTTGAAGGTCAGCAATTGCCACGGCTGCGCCCAGGCGCCCCACGTGCTGTCCACGATCGGCCCGAGATTCGGGTGGATGAGGTTGTAACATTGGCCGTAGTGGATTCCGAGGTGGCTGTCGTGGATTGGGGTAGTATCTTGCTGCAACTGCGTTCCGGTGGATGGTGCGTCACAGGGAGGAGGGTCGTGGTCGAGCAGCGTCTGCTGAAGCGGGTTAAGGGAGTTGGGAAGGGTGAGAGCGCGCGAGGATAGGACCGTCAGGGAGATGAGGAGGGTGATTGTAAAAGTCATGATCATCGTTAGCTTTACTCTTTGGTGTTGAAAGTTGATATACCTGAATTCTTCTCGAGAGAAACAGATTAATGCTGGTTAGAGGAAGGAAAAGTGCTGCTACGCTCCCGTGGTTTTGAATTCAGAGCACGAGCATGCCCGAGAGATGATTGTTAGTTTATTTCTTGCGCGGGCTCTCGACTTCACCAAGACGTAATCCAGACCTAGTCTGATGTTTCGACCCGCACGAGGAGGCATCTCGCTCGCATTGGCTATGCTGAAAGACTCCGAGCATACTGAAATCCTACCGAGTTCTCACAGAGTTTCCGAGCCGGGGAATGATTTCACGACTCTGGCTGTTTAGCCTTTTCTTGTCCTTGTTTCCGTAACTCTACTGGGAAGCACTGTTGCGGGTCGAGAGCTTGGTGGCCCTTGAGCAGGTTTTGGTGTGAGGTAGACCTCCGAGGGCCCGGTGTTCGCAAAACGGCCGTCGCACCGTTGATACGAGCGTTGTTAGCTTGACAGGAAGTGGGCGATATTGTGGTTCTCCGCTGTCATGGAACTAGAGAGCTCATTGATAGAAGCGGTGAATAGAGACATATCCCACTTACCTGTGCTACTTTCGCGAGCTCGAGGACAAGGAGGGAATGAAGAGCAACATGACTGTAAAACAGCGGGCCTCCTGATCCAGTCTCCATACCCGCAACCACCACTCGCAAGTCAACATTGTCTTGCCCTTGCTGGGAGTGCCTGTATCCAGAAAAGGTGGCATTACTGCAGTATGGACAAAACTGAGGCAAAAACATACAACAGAAGGGATTCGCTGGTAGTCACCCACCCAACTACTAACCTCCCGGCGTGTGGCTTGAACGCGGCCAGAAGACGGGTGGATGCCGTGCGGGTGAGCTAGCAGGTAAGACCGCTTTACAGTCGCGCGACCGGAGGTGAATAGAGTAAGTACGCTTTAAAGAAAAATAAACAATTACCCCTATCGTGCAATATTACATAATCTCACCCGTACAAAGTTTAATTGCCACTTGATCTCTCACCAGCAACAATAATTGGTATAAAAGTATATACTAAATCTACTAAGCCATAATACTAACTTAAGAATATCTAATATAGATCTAGGTAATACGTAATCCTTCTTCAGTTCGGTAAGAAAAAAAGAAAGTAAAAAAATTATTTAAAAGCCCGAAAAATCGCCTAATTAATACAGACTTGATTGGTGGTAAAATATTGAATAATTTATTCTGTAATCAGAAAACAGAAGGCATCAATTATATAAATTTTGATTTAGTGATATTTAATATACGCTTGCCAAAATAATAAAATCTTAAGTTTTTTTATAAACTGTAATATTAGCTTAGCTAAATAGAAAAAATTATTTGTATTATCAGCAGATAATTTTGTATATCTTCTAAGATACAGGCTGGTTGGGGTAGTAGAAAAAGCAGTTTAGACTAATAGATTTTTATAAACAGTTATATTTCTTTAAATCTACTTAGCTTTTTTTTATTACGTCTTGTTTCTATATAGAACGGCACGAATAGAGTGGCTAACGGCCAGGTCAGGTCAGATTAATTTGAATTTTTATATCTAACCGCCAGGTTATGGCTAGGTTAAGAAAATTTTAATTTTCAACCGCAGTATAGCTAAAATTTAGATAATTAATTATTTTAATTATTTTTAATATTAAGATCTACCTGCTATACTTTTTTTAGTTTTAGTATAGTTAAGATATTAGTTATACCTATTTAGTTTATTTTTTAAAAAATATTATCAAATCTTCTTTTGCTGTTTTTTAGATTTTTATAAATTATAATAATATTTAAATTAAAATAAGTTTTTTAAATAAATTTTTTTTTAAAATCTTAAGATTACA